ACAATTGTTGTTAGTTTCTGTGTGGTCATCTTGTCCTGCTGTCTAGTGCTGCAATCCTTGTAGTCTTTGAGCCCTGTTGTATTCTTTATCCAGACATTTACTCCAGTCATCTATTCACCTCTCTGCAGAAAAGATGAAATTGGGTATGTTTATATATAAAACCCTCAGAACCACAGGTTGAACGTGATGTACGTAGTCTATTTAACGCATAGGCTCTACTAAGCAAATAAAAATCATTGGCTCTTTCTCTCATCTTCCGACCCTTGAGCCACTCCAAAAAAAATCATTCTTTTTGTTGCCCCAAAAAATTTTCTCTTCTTAGAAAATTCTCCACCTCTCCGGTAGAAATTTCATCAATAGGGGGTCCAAAGTCTACAACAGCTGAAATATGTGAAACAAGGTTCAACACCAGGAAAACTAAATGACCACTAGCTGACAAGTGACATTGGGCTAAGTTCAACATGCTATCCATCATCTACCCCCTTTCAAGTGATTACAGTCCCCTACAGAGGAAAAAGGGGCCATTGTAGTCCACTGGTAATACAACTGTAGTTGGAACAGAGCCAAGACCATTGTTGATCAATCTCACCTGTCAACAAGTGACTCTTGTTTTTTTCCTGGTGCAAGCACATATTCAAGGAGGGGCCAGTGAAGAAAAAGAGAGATATCGTGATGCAATCTCAAAGCACACCAAATTTATGCTTGTATTGCAACAATTTCAGATGTTTTTTCTCCAAGTTCCTATGTGCAGTTTGGTTAATACATATTTTTTGATGCAAACAACCAGCCATTATTTGAGGGTGAATCTTCAAAAAAATATTTGTGATCAGTTTCACTGGATTATCCCCTCAGCAAAGCTTGGTTCCTTAATTCTGGTTATATATGTGTGCTCTAATCTATGTCATCAAGTAGCGGTTCACCAACCCTGTCAGGATTGAAGCCTGGCAGAAGCTCCCAACCATTTTGTTGGAGAATTTAGGTATAAATTTACACAGGTTTCACTGATGTATGTAACAGCAAAGAGAATAAGCAAGCATTCTGGATAAGTAAGAAAAGGAAAAGCAATGTTCACTATTGGTGGAATTAAAAGATAGTGACAGTGTATAGTCACAAAAATTCAACATTTTCTGATTTGCAAGTCACTACTATTTGAACATCAAACACAAGCCAAAGTCATACCAAATTTCCCCCTACATGCAGACTTGGTGTAATTTTTTTTTTTTTTTGATGTGAGATGTATTGCTATTGTGGTGTTTGAATAAATGATCATGTGATTGAAATGGAAAGCACCATCCAGGGAACTGGTGATTACTACGCAGTGCACCATGTTCATAGTGCACTGACTTGGGGAAGGTCGGCAAAGGTGGCCTGGTTAACATAGAGCCTGACCGTGACGGTACGTCGACAGAGTGAAATCTTCCGTACTTGACAATTCCTTCGGCTGGCAGCGCGATGGCCTTCGTCGCGAACTACTGATCGGAGGGACTCGTCTTAATAAACAGCTTGAGTTCACGACGCTTTGCTCCAATCAGGAAGATGATTTTTTTTTCCAGCTCTGGGGTCTACTACAGAGAACGCGGGAGGGCAGTCAGCTTCTTTTCAACCTCGCTCGGGACCCAGTATGAGAAGAGAAAATAAAAGGCTGAGGCATGAAGCACAAGGGCTGGCTGATTCGAATGGCAAAGTCCTCCCGGAGCTTTGATACAAGCGGCCCGCGACTTGGCCCCTGCTCAGAGTCACAATGTACTTGCTCCGCAGAGCCAGACCAGCCGTCCAATGCAGTAGGCTGGTCAGTCCAATCATTAGCATCCCCTCAATCACAGTGGTTCCTCTTGTTGATAAACGCAGCCTCTCCAATATTCTTCCTGTGACTTGAGGATAAAACCAACTCGCTCATGTTCAATCTTCCTCAAACCGTACCCATATCCCCCTTTCCTTGCTCAGTAAACACGCGCATTTCAATAATCCAAGAGTGTCTAATCTTTCGAAGTTTTCGAAAGCCTAGTATATAATAAAGTACCCTCGATGTCAAGCCTAAATCCCTTGGCTGAAAGGTCGCCCTCGACTCCAACCACAATAACAATCTCGAGAGCATGGTCAGCAGCCGAATTCCAGCTCGTAGGCGTTGTCTTCGGAATCACTCTGGGCTTTGGTTACTTTGTTGTATGTCACGCAGCAAGACAGGCGCGAAGAGCGAACACATTTACGGTGCTTGTTTGGTTAGGAGTGCGTTCGTGAATCACTTTTTCATATCATCCTTTTGGCTGCTATTTATCTAAAGTTCGCTTTTTTCCCTCTCGAAGATTTCTGCCAACTTGACCTCCGCCTGTATTACCTTCCTCTTTGCAAGTGGAGTAATTGAGGCATCGACTCCATATTATCTATGCGTTATACATCTATGTACGTGCTCTCATGGAATTTGATCTAGGTTTAAAGGCGATCAAGTGCTAACTTTTTCTTCTCCAAAACTGCAAAAACAGGGGCCATCCAGGTTTGTTTTCCTCCCGATTCTCCAAAAATCAATCATGCTGACGATCAGGTGTGCTGAACGTTTAGCTGAATTGCGTGTTCCAAATTATGGTAAGTGGTTATTTACAGAAAAAAAGCAAGAAAGCATTTTCTCTCAAAAGCTAATTGTTTGTTAATTAGGTGAGTCGGATAATCTTGATATGGTCAAATCCATATCACTGCCAGTGTTTGAGATGGGGCATCCTGCTCTGGGCGTTACTCCTGACTGGTGCCGCGGTAAGCGCATTCTCCTCAAGACTTGCACCCTATAATATAATTGGTCAACAGGCTTATGCATGTTAAATCATTTAGTTTTCAACCTGGATTCCGGCTCGTCTGAAGATGTCTGACAACATAATCAGGATCAATGTGATCTGTTATCCTATTGTGTGAGTCTTTCTCCTATGATCAAATGGATGCTTGACACTGACCTTTGAATTGGCCCTTGTGGTATAATAATAGGAGATTGATTTGTTTGATGACCAATGCTTGCCTGAATATCACGTTTATCTATTCGGTCAAGAAGACCTTAGTCGCCAATGGTTTAACAAAATAGTCAGTCGTTTGCTTAACCGTCCCTTTAGTACTACGTTGGCTGATATTCGGATCATAACAGCAACAAACTATTGAAATTTAACGCCAAGATCATGGCTTTGTCGTTGTTCCTGGTATGTACCGATATACAAAACCTTTGTCGGTGTGATCCAAACGCTGATATTTATTTACCCATGTGAAAACCAGGATTTAGTGCCTATAATGCTCTTGTGAGTCAATATACACACAAGAATAAACAAATAACGAAGAACAAGAATCTAACACGGCTTTCTCCTTATCAAATCTCAAGGGCTTTTCACAGCAGGTTTGTTATAAAGAATGATCAAATTATCATCTGATTCTTCTTTGGATTCCTAGACTGACTCGCACCATCCATTCTTTTTTTTAGCCTTCTATACATATCATTCTTCCCACTTTCGACGATGGTTAAACTTGAAATAGTGAGTGACTCTTATAATACCCTCAGTTGCGATTTGATTCAAGCTGAATGATCAACTTGCAGGAACTGGTTACCAATGACTTGATCGTGGAAGTCATCAAGTCAGAAAACCAGTTAAAGCGGATCAGAGAAAGCCATTCTGGATTGATTCCAGGATATCCCACGTTGGATGGATTAGACAGCACGATCAATACCCCTCGCAGTAAGTTGGATCGAGTTACTATAGTACTCGATGGTAGAATTTATTTATTGTTTTTTTTTTTTTCTTGAAAATTGATAAGCATGCTTGTTCAGCGACGAGGATGGGACGACGAAGTTTCAAGAACCAACAACAGCTGACGACCCTGAACCTGCTGGATATGTGGAAAGCTCCACTAGCAGGCTCAGCAGCTTCACAGCTTCAGATTGGTGATCGTCTGACAGCCCAGGGCCTCTCGATTCAGCTGGGTGATCAGTTCATGGATTCTTCGAGGTCGTTTGGGATGTTTAGTTTGCCCTACCTTAGCTCGCCGATTGACTCGGAAGCAGAGGAGTGGCTGCACAGTCGAATGTCTTCTTGTGAAACTGATCTGACTGTGGTTTCTAATGATGATGCAGCTGTATTGATGCTGTAGTGTATGTCTACATAGTGATGTTGTTGTATGTATCCTTTTCTTTATCGCGTCCTACATAAATAAAAGATGTAGTGTATGTATTATGTTAGCTGGGTTCTTTTACTGGGGCAGTCATTCTGTGAATGTGTTGATCAACAATATAAATAACAATGTATCCAAGGGTTCATAAATCCCTTTTGTTTATGTATGTGTGCTACCCAAGCGCAACCCTTTGTTGTTGATGAGCTGTGTGAGTGTATGCGTTCGATGTGGGGTTTGGATTATTCAATTTGCATACTGGGGATTTCTCCACTTCACTTCGATCTGGGCAGAATCACTCCTTCTCCTGACCATCCATCAACCATCAACCACCATCATGACCAACCCAACAACCCTCGACCATCTATGTCAAACACACCTCCCGGCATCCACGCATCCCGGTCCAGCAAGCTTTCGGGCCCACACTTCTCAAACCCAGACGGACAACCCATGAAGCGGGGGTACATTGGAATTCTATCTCCATCACCAACTGAAACATCACCAACACCAACACCACCGTTCAACAGCGGCAACAACAGAAACAACAACAACAGCAGCAACAACAACAGCAACAACAGCAGTACCATCAGCTCAAACCGAATACGATCCTGTCAAAGTTCGTAAAGGATGTCCTCCATCTGCCACCATCTCTGATCAACTGGCCCTCCACAAGCCAACTACTACCCATCCTCATGATTGGATCGCACTCATCGAACGTGGCGACTGTGCATTCGTCGATAAGGTCCGATATGCTCAAAAACTAGGCGCCTCAGCCGTCATCGTCGGTGACTGGCAACAATCACCATCATCAACATCGTCATCATTCTCCACACATCATCCATTCTCTCTCTCTCCCATATTCTCCCAACCATCAAAGACTGGCGATCACTTCGGCTTCAACTCCGGTCTACTCACCATGTATGCTCCAGGAGATACCAGCGATCTCACCATCCCAAGCGTCTTCGTAGCCAGAGATAGCTATCTCAGTCTCAGGCAGGATTGGAAAGAATTCTCGGCCATCTCCGATCAACCATTTCCACATCAACCTACTGCCGATCTAGATCATCTTCACTCATTGGAAGTCATCATGAGTAAGGACGAATTATGGACTTGGTCTGTCTCAACTCCTTGTTTTTTTTGCTTCCAAGGCTAACCTACGTTTGAAAATCCAGGCCATTCTTCGATTTGGTTATCATTCTACTATTCTTACCTTCGATTCTCACCATCGTCACACTACTTCTACACCGTATCAGTACGTTCAGAAAAAGAAGGGCGGATAGGGCACCCAGGGAACTTGTCAATCGATTACCCTCAGTGATCTGGGCCAAAGATATGGAGAAAGGCATCCCACTCCTCAGTGATCCACTTCTCAACCCGCCTGCTCAAGACCAACAATCATCCCTTTCAGCTGGATGGATCTCCACACTTCATCAATGGCTACAACACATCCAACCAAGATTACATCCCATCATCTTCCCCAACACTCGCTCGGAACAGACCCCATTACTCACGCCTTCAAACCCTCATCCGTATGCCGAGCCGGTCTTGAGGAAACAGCAACAGAAAGTTTATTTCTCACAGCGAGAATGTGCTCTGTGCTTGTCAGACTTCGAAGTAGGCGATTTGATTAGGATTTTACCCTGCGGACATTGCTTCCATCAGTCCCAGTTAGAAGAGCAATGTATGGGTATAGACTGTTGGCTATTGAAATCCAAAAGATTCGTGAGTTCAATGTTACCCACTTGAGTATAAGAAAAGATTCTAAATTTCTTTTTCGTTTCATTACAATCAACAGTGTCCAATATGTCGAATGTCGATCGTTGAAGAACCTGAGGGTTCATCTGAGATCAGTGCCGTTGACCCAGCGATCCATCCAACCAGCCCGGTCGAACGCAACCTCGCTGGGCTACCATCTGAACCGATCCCGCTCCCCTCCAATCATGCCAATCGACTAACCCATAACCAGTATTCCACAGGAACAAATAACGGACCGATACCTTCTTCTTCGAGTGTCACCCTAGACCATGCCTGTTCTCGTACCCGCATTTGAACGATCGTCAACCCCAGCAAATCATCGTCCCCGACGGCTGAATTGGACGTCCACATAGTTGTTACCCAGACCACCATCCCCACTCCCACTGAAATTTGAATTCCCCAACCAATACGCACGCTCAGCCAGTTTTTCTTTCCCCACTTATTCGCAGGAGGTGTATACCTTTACTTTTTTTTTTGCTTCTATGTATGTACCAACAGTCAACAGAGGTATTGCTTTCATTAAACGCCTGGGGTCAAGCCAAGCCCCCCGATTGCTCTATTTGTGTGTGTGTGTGTGTGTGTGTGTGTGATCTAAAATCTTCAACCCAAGCATCCTGTCCGATTTCTCTTCATCTTTGGGGTTCCCAGTTGTCTCATTTATTAGTCTCCCTGTCCCAATCATACGTACGAATCTCGTTTCTTGTATTTCTTTGTCCTGTTTGTATTGCTTAGTTCCCCTTAGTCAGCGTAATCTATGCAGCCCATAATATCACAATCATCTTCACTTGTTTCACCGCAATTTGACGATGCTCTCTGACGGATCAAAACGCTCATAGTGATCTACAATGCCACAAGATGTCCTCAGTTCAAGTGGGTTTGGGCTCTCTAACGCGGCTAAATTGAAACCAAAAGTATAGGAACATCAACTGCGGTGTATTGGATATGTATACGAGCATCTGCCTGTGATACAATGAGTGTCGACACGGAAGTCATCCCATGACGCAAGAGTTGGTCTTACATTTCTTTTTATAAACTACTGGGATACATATCTGCTTTTTTTAGTCCGGATAGGAGAGGTTGAAAAACCATGCCGATGGAACAAAAAGCTGCTGACGCATACAGTCTAGGTAGCAGGAATGCAAAAACACTGATTGCCGACTATCCCAAGCAGTTTACATACCTCAGAACGAGGAGGTTTTATCGCTGATGAGAGAACCGCTCAAGTGACCATCCTTGTGACAAATCGTTTGCCTTGGGTTGAATCGGCACCCTCGAATACAAATAATTATAAGAGAGTACACATTTTTGAGCTTGACGTTTGGAGCCTTCCTGCTTAGATCACGATTATCTTTGAATGAAGGTGGAGGGAATATGATCAGGCAAAGTTACATACTGGCCGCGGAAGAAAGGCCTGCAGATGCCGGTTGGTGAGCCAGTTGCAGGAGGAAGATTGGCCTTGAATATGGGAATGAAATTTGGCGAGTTCAGAATTGGTTCCTAAATATTTATTTAATCATCTTGAGGAGTGACTCAGTGAGGTGTGCCCAGTCCCTCGACGCCACTTGACCAAGATCGGCAGGTTCCCAGTCAGCCGAATCACGCGAGCGGAAGAGGGCGTCGACTTGGTTCCGGAAGGTGTCTTCGGCCTGGGCCTGCAGCTCGGGGTGATCCTCGAAGAGCCGAGCAAGATCTGCTCTGGCCTTGATGACTCGGGCACGGTCTGTTTGCGAAACTAACAGGCCGGATTCCTGGAGCCTTATCTCTCGCAAGTCTAATGACACCTCCTTAGCCATCTCCGGATGCGCCTTGGCGTACCGTTCAACGACCGCCTCGATCGCTTGCGTGGCTACTTGCTTCACTCTGCTCTCATACCCTGCACCATGACCCACACGATTATTATCCGTTGGACATCCCCAGTTGAAGATCTCGTTGAAGGATACCGGGCCGAAGATCGGAATGATCACAAAACGAGGCGGCACTATCACTGCTCGCTTAGACAATATCGGCTGTCCCGAGTACGGGTGAAGCTTTGGGGATCGTTGAACAAGCAGTGCTTGGGAGATGCAAGATCGGTGACTGCGATGAGTGCCGTCATCCACGTTAATGGGGAGCCAGAGAACTTTTTCATGGCCACGTCCAAGCAAAGCAGAATTCGGAATCAGCGCTGCGATCCTTGTCCAGGGGTCAAGGCTTCTGTCCTGACAAGGAGATTTATTGTTTGATCAAAGGAGGATGTACGCGTGTCAAATGAAAGGCTGATTTTTATGAGGAACGGGGGGGATATTTGGTCCAGGCCGATGTAATCACGATCGTATTAGACTCATGAGTGGATGTGATTAGTCCCACTACTTGACTTCCTGAAACACCTCTCAGTGTGGGTCTCAACTCTCAAGACGAAGGAAGATCACCTCAAACCTTTCCGCGAAAACTAAGGGAATACAACGGTCGATGGGCACACCACTTTCTAGAACTCGGCAGTGAGCTAGACGAAATTATTCGCTCCGGTTCTCAAGGACCGATGGATTTTTAGTTGGCAACACAGACAGACAACCTGTCGTTTCCTCCATTAGTATTGAAATATGCATTACTGTGTTCCAACAATTAACCGGGGCAAAACATTGCCCAGAGCAAAGTAAGGAGGAGCTTGACGATATCTGTGATCTGGTTGAGATTGTGCTCGTCGCGTCCGGAAGAGGTACCATCATCAAGAGTCCATAAGTGGTGCTCTTTCTATCGTCCCAATGGTCTAGAAAAAGGGCTGCCGAAGCACCGCCTGATGTTCAAGTCAAACTCCAATCCAAGCTGATCGAATTGTTGTCTCTCTACAATTGGTATAACACGCGCCCAAGATTAGCGACGCGTTTTCTCGTCAACAAAATTAGTTATGGATGGGATCGAGATGGCTTATATTATAAAGATGTGAATAATTAGACATTTGATTTTTTTAAGAAGAAACATTAAATATTTAGATAAATATATATCTATTTATAATCAGTCAGCTCCGAATCAACAATATGAATTTTAAGTGTTGAACCAAGTTTGGATCAAAGTAAAAAAAAGAAAGAAGATCGTCTCTGAGTGATCAAGCTAGAGTATGTCTGCGGAAAGCCAAAAAAAAAAAAAAAAAAAAAAAAAATCTGATCACCTCAGAGATGATTATGTTACATGATATGTAGCGGTGGAAGGGGGGGTATGCGATGAATTTAATGCTCATAAGGTGTGAAAGAATAAGATGTGAATGGCGACATAAGAGATTAGCGATCGGAGAATGAGCCCGGAGAATGAGTACTGTGACCGGGTGGTCGAACTGCTACTATAGGGAGAATTATATCGTTGGCCGCCCGGGCGTAGGATTCTGGCAAACAAGACAAAGAGAACAGCAGTGTCAGAATGAATCCCCCTGATCCATCACGCTCGAAGGACCTGATTTGCCAAAAGTGTTTTGTAGTTTGATCGTTGACCTATTTCTGATTGACTCACGTTGGCAAGCTTGATTCTGGTTTACAATCTGAACTCCCACAAATCCAGCCTCGTGACAATGATTTCGACTGCGGTCCGAGCGGTCCGCCTTCGTAGAAGCACATTGGCCCGATGCAAGTTTGATGCTGCAATTTGGTTCAAACGAGTGATTATAATTACTATTGGCATCTCCCGAAGTGATCATTGTGTAGGAGTAGATCAGTTTCAGCCGGCTTACCGGATTCGAAGGTTCGAGTTTCTGGTCACCCCAATATCCCAAGAACTTCAACCAGCCCAGCTTTTGGGGGTCTTGTTGCTCGACGGGCGTATCGGCCGTATACGAGAAGCCGTTCTCATTGGAGAAGAAGAAAGACTTGTAGTTCATTTTAGGGTCCCAAAGGTGTCCCCGGTCGGTGACATCGTAAATCGCCACGGGCAATCCGGTATAGTTTTGTTGACCAGCTTGTGGGTACATCTGGAAAGCCCGAAAATGAATCAAATACATAATTAGTGAGCCTGAAGGCGACGCTTTTATCAAAAAAAAACGCCGTTGGTTTCACTTACCCCGTGGGTGCCATTGGCTGAGTACACTACTGGTCGTCCATTGACCCGCTCAAGCACTTCGTATTTGAACGCCGAGTTACCGAGCATCACCTGGCCGCCGTGTGCCTCAGGTGTAACGTACATCGGCTTGCCATCCTTGAATCTGATCATAGTATTTTCCTGAAGTCATAGTAGTTAGCTTCTCTTTCTCTTCTTTTGATTTGTCTTCAATGGAATGGTTATCTGATTACGAGAAAATAAAGCAAAAAACACTCACCCAATCTGCAACATGATCCCCAAACCGATTATTGTAGAAGTAGTTTCCACGATTATATGAATAAAAACTGTTCAGGAAATAGATGTGTATTAGCGCTGACATTGTGAGGGCTTGAATGTTGATTTTTAAAAAAAAAAAAAAATTGTCTGTGACTGACAATAAATAAAACACATCCACCCAGCCGGGTCCAACTATGAAGATGAGAGAAAGATGGATTCAGTATTTTCAGGCTAAACAAGTTGGTTATGAGAGAAGGTTGCAGACCTTGTTGGGTTTTGTCAACTGCAATGATAATGCTAGCGGCGGCCGATCTACCACTCTGATCAGGTGGCCCCACACCTCGAAGCCTTATGAATTAAAACAAGATAAGAGGTGAGCCTTTTTTTTGAAAGGGAAAGAAATAGTTTTTGAAAGATGACGACTGTACCATGAAGCCTTATCGAGGTCGAAGATTGGTTGTTTTGAGCTGAGATAGGTGATTTCTTGTTGGGTGGGCTCGATAGATTGCAGATTATTAGAGCCGAGAAAATCCTGAGTAGTTTGAGCAGATACTAGATAGCTTTCAAGGGTGGTGAAGTTAATCTGAGGCTGGACATTATCAAAGTGTTGGTTCAAGTCAGATGGCCAGAAGACCTCATCGGAATGCAGATAGACTAGTGGTGCGAAGTCGAGGGCGAATTGGGGAAGGGTTTGGTTGGCGGTGAAGTAAGGCAGGTGGCCATTGGCGGGTATTGTGGTTGTTAGGACTTGGAAGGTTCTTGCGATGAGGAAAGTAAGGATGTTTCTGGTAAGGAGTGATAGATGAGCATTGAGGAGCATGTTTGAGTGTTTATTTATAGTGCCGTCGAACGCCAAAGGAATTATAAAAAAAAAAAGAACAATGAGCTGCTTCCTTCTTGGTTCTTTTTTTTTTCTTCTTCTTCTTCTTCTTCTGTTTTGTTTTTTGATAGCGATGGCGGAGATGTTTTGAACGGAGAGATGATGATGGTTAAACGGGCCTTTAATGAGGAGGATAGGCAGTATTTCTACTCTGCCTGGCAAGATAGAATTGCGAGTAATTAACTATACCTGAGTGTTTTGAGTTGAGCGCTCAAGTTAAACCAATCCAAGCCAAGCCAAGCCGACAGTCATAATGTGTTTTAGGCTAGGATGGAAGAGTGTGGGTGAGCTAGTCGCTCGGTTGATGGAATGGAAGGCTGGAATCGCTCAGGAGCCTGGCGGCACCAGCAGCCCCACTGATGAATAAATTTTCCCTCAGAATAGCATGACGCGTGTGCGTTGCTTCTTCTTCTTTTTTTTTTTTTCTGCAAATGCGAAGTGCCCTGGTCTGATTGTTGGTTGGTTCTAACTGGAATAGGCAGATGCACTCTATTATTTTTTTTTTTGGGGGGGGGGGGGGTTGCTTTTCATTTCTCTGGACAAACAGGGGAGTGGAGGCAAACACACAACGGGTGATCAAAAACTTATTTATGGGGAGTGATTGATGAAAGGCGGTACTGTGAATTGATGAGATGGCCAAGAAGATCGACTTGAACCTTTTTTGTTGATCATCCTGTTTCGGGAAAATAAGTTTGTTGGGTTAATTTGCCTGGATCAGAGTCGAAGAAACGTTATAAATATTTAATACTTGCAAGAAGGAAGCATTTTGGAAGCTTGTCGGTGAGAGTCAGTTGGCTCTTACATAATTGCCAGTCATCCGTCGATCTTCTGTGCTTGGTGATGATGGTCAACTAGAGGAGCCCATGGCCGAATGGCGGCTGAAAAAGAGAGTGCCGATCCACGAAACACACTCCACCTGTAGTACATCCGAGCTTCCTGGGGGAACATTATAAAAAAACGATAAACATGTGGGAAAGAGCAAAGACTCTCCTTGGCAGATATGTAGAGCATACATATGTATCAAGCTTATCCATCCATCATCATCGCCAAACCAAGCATCCAATCTGCCACTTCTACACAATCCATTCCTCTTCCCCTATCGCGATGCCAATCGATAGACCTCTTCCAGTTTCTTGGTGCCCATCATCCGCCAGTTGGTATAATTGTATGTACTTGCTGCAGTAATTCACACCTGACACTGGATCCTATATTAGGAGCAAAGCTATCTATCTACCCTGACCAAATCCACCGATTGCACACTTATACAAAATCTCACCAAGCCAAAACAAAAGCAAAAACAAAAAAAAAACTGGAAAGCATTGATTACGTTTGAAGTGGTGATCAACTCAGGGATAGCATTATGGAAATCACTTGGGCAAAGTCAAGTAGGTTGAGTATGGCTTGTGAGAGCAGACAAGGTGGTGGTGGGGGTGGCCGTGGGGAGGATGGGGCTGCACTGTCTCTGGTGTGAGCTTGATGTGGCACCAGAAGATTGAAATGTTGGAACCAATCAGTTTCCAGTCTTGGTAAGCTTCAAAGTTTATTACAACTGAATACAGCTCTTCAATCTCTTTTATTTTAAACACAATTAAGCAAACAATTCAATTTCATGTCAGTTGCTAAACACTTTTCCAAATGCAAGTCTCAATTTTCACTATCTATAATCCATTTCCCACCAATCTTCAGCTATGTGACAGGTTCATTAATTCCTACTGGGCAAAGCTTACACCTTATGTGTGTGGGTGTGTATGTGTTATGTTCAGAACAGTAGAATCTGGCAAGCCAATCTGCAAAACATCACAGCATTTTGAAGCACATTTTTTTGGCTCCATGAGGCAAGGTCACTGCCAAACAATCAAAAACACAACTCAATTAAAACAAAAACACATTGATTCCAAGCCCAGTTGGCTTGTGACTTACAACAAGCTATGAAGGTCTATGAGTTTTTAACCCCTCAGCCAAGTTAACTCAGGGTCTTGCTTTGTATTTTCTCTAAGATGACACAGTCACTGAATTTGGTTCTATATGCTTATATAGTATGAGACTACTTGGAGGGTTGCAAGTATCACGGTTGCATTTTTCTTTGTTGATACATACAGCTATCACAGCCATGTTTATGTGCTTGGAATCACTATTTTGTCGCTGTCCAAGGGTCTGTGTTTGGCCGCATAGAAAGAATGGTAAAGAGTCAATTCCCAACTGACATTGCTACTTGATCAGTGGGGGGTTTTAGCCGGTCAGTGAGCATGGAAAACAAATGAAGAAGACAAGGTGGTTAAGAAGAGTGTACTACTGATAACGTCTGTTTAATCAAAGAAATGTAACAACGGTTTGTTCTGCCGAGCTGAAGGGGTGGGAAAGAGTACAAAATATATCTTGCGGACGAGCTTACTACTACTTTTGAATTGGGAACTGGGGGTTAGAAATGAACGAAAGTGGGTCCGAGTTTACAATACTAATACTACGACTTGTTTTGGAACGAATAAGAGCGACGATAACGAGAGGAAATGAAATAATTGAGAAAACTGGATCATCATCTGTTGTGCGCGGATGATTGAGGGCAGGAGGCTCTTTCTTGAATAAAACAGGTTTGTAAGGTGTGTTAGAAGGCATCGAATGCTTCATTACACCACAGCGTGTAATAAAATTTATCGAGGACGTTACAAGTCAGGCACCTTGAGAAAGAAGAAGTTAGGTCAGGCTCCCGCTAGACTGCCCGAAAAGAGAGAAGAAGAAGCTTACACCACAACATATGAGTGGTGGGATTACTACTGAACCCGAACATTCTCGATCTCATGGAAGTGGGCGTTGTTTGGGAAGAAAGAAGGATCGAAGGATCTGCGCTTGATGCCCAACTTGGGAGGGCGAGGAACGAGACCGTTAGAGCTGATGGAACGACCCGATCCGGGGGCGATCTGAGGAAGAGCTAACTCGGACGGGAACCGAGGGTTGGAAGACTTCTTCATGGGATCTGTGAGGGCTGCTCGGGGCTTGATGGCTTGAGATTCTTCCACGTTGTGGTGGATCGAATTGCGGGTGTTTGAGACCCGAAGGGTGTCGCGGGATAGGTTGATGTTGTCGGTTGTGCGGAGGGATAAGTTTCCGAGCTGTTGCTCCCAGGCGCTCCATGCTTCATCTCGCATCCGGTAGGCCACCTTCCAGCCGTTTTCGGTGGGTGGTCGGAGGCTATCACTCGTGCCGGCGACTCGACTCATACGCAAGAAGCTCGAGGATCCAACCCCGCTGTTGCGCATGTCAGGTCGTCTGCCGAGAGGCGATGAGATTCCCAGAGTGCCTGCCGTTGGGCGATCAAAATAACCGCCTGGGCTGTGCGCACTCGAGGCTGGTGTGAAGGGGGTAAAGGGCGAAAAGGCGGATACTGGGGTAGGCATCATGGAGTCGCTGCAAGATGAATTCCAAGCCTAAGTGAGTCAGTGTTAACCAATTAGCAGATTAGCTGCAAGATGTTGGCTTACAAGAAGATTATTTTTGGTCGACTGGTTAGTGATCTGGGGTAGGCAATTAGGGGGGGTAGATATTTAGGCTAAGATGGTGATGAGTTGTGTGTGTGTGTGGGGGATATCTTTTATTAAAAGAGAGAGGAAAGTGGCAAGCTTTGAGGAGATGATGCCGGATTTCGGAAGAGTTTTTTTGGCTGGATGTAGGCTGTATTATTTTGGAGGAGCTGGAGTCTGAGAGTCTTTCTTTCGACGAGGCGAATGGGGTAGCGAAAAGAGATGATATCTGCCTTGATTCTTAACAAGTGTGTTTTAACGATAGTGAGTTCTCGAAGATGTTTTTGGTAGAGTCAAGGCGAAGATTAGAGAATAACTGAAAGGCTTGATTGAGGGGATGTCTCGGAGGAAGAAGGGATGGATTTTCGAGTGTTCTTTATAGCTTGTCTCCTTGGAAGGGGTTCTTGTTTTCCGCTCGACTAGGATTTCCTGCACGTGGCCACATCGGATGCCATTCGATGACCCAATCAGGAACCATCAATAGACGCTCACCGTGCACAGTCCTTCAGGGCTGCCGTCATTGCTCATCAAGAGAGTTATTAATACAGACTCGCATCTGACCGTGGCGAACAGTTCTACTTGTTAATGTATGTAATAATTTGGAAGGCATTCTGTCAAATTGAAGTCGGTCGGCTTTAGAATAATCAGCAATTCAGGCTGATTTGTTTCGGTTGTTTCTGCTGGATGAATCGAGGATGGAAATAACTAAGTGGATGGAATTCATATTTCCACACCATATACCCTCAAGCACCAGAAAAAGGTAAGTCATGAACGCGTCGTGTGCTCCTAGCCCAGTTTGGTTTGCAGAAAGCTGCCGGGGCGAAAGGAGGAAGGCTTTAACTTTTGACGGGGATCGGCAGTGGTCATGGACTCAATGACGCAGCGAAATGACGCAATAAGGGACATGCGAAGGATAGGATGTCAAGACCGAACCATCGCACGAGAAACCATGATGGGCTACAACCAATGTTTCCATTGAGCCTTGTGCATAACAGTCCACCGGCAGCAACTTCCGCCCATTTCCTTGGGCGGCTTTGGCTTGTTTCACGGGATTTCGCCCCCCACAATATTTATTTGACTCCGACGGTCAGTCGTTCATCTGCCGAACTAAGAATTAGATAGAGCCCTTCCTTCCAAAAGGATATTGCTTCCGGGCAGAGGAGGGCAAGGATCTAATCAACTATAGCAATTCATCGTTCCGGTGCATACTTTTATAGGCATAAGAGCAATTAAGGACAAGGAGTAAAAAGACTTTGATAGGTAGATAACAAGATTGAAGCCAGGCAATCAGATATGGGTACATAAACGTGCACAGAAAGTAAAGATATATGTAAATCAAGGTATCATCTAAGATTGCATGGCTTGTCTTTCTTTCTTTTTTTTTTTGTATTTCGCTGAATGAATTGGAGTATGCTGAGGCAAGCGGTTTAACGAGTTTTGATGATTCCTGCTTCAACCAACTTCATGATTTTTTGTCGTATCATTGGATTCGCCATGTGTGACTGTAAGGCTTGCGGGTCTTGTTGACCTTGAGACAAGATTTGTTGCATGACAGGCTGAAGAAGAAGAAGAAGAAGAAGCAGAAGAAAATCAAAATCAGTCATTTGTCATGGCAGGGTTCTGTGACAAAAACAACTTACATCTGACATGATCTGTTGAATTTCGGGATCCCGCATGGCCTTCTCAAGCCGCTGCTCATCGGTTTCATTAGCTCGCTCCCCGTATTCAGCCATCACGCATTTCTGCAAATTCGCTGCGATCTCTTTGGAGTGTTTCTTTTCCGGATCGTGTTCCTCGGCCTTACGAAGAGTGTCGATCGCCTTTTTGTAGTCCTTCATCGCAAACAGCGTCAAGGATTTTCGGATATAGGCCTTCGTGTAATCGGGATCTGCTTCGATCGCCGAATCGGTATCTTTCAGCGCTTCGGGTAGAGCTAAAAGCTTCGAATATGAAGCGGCTCGGTTGGTGTAGGCCCGCGGATCAGCGGGATTGCGCTTGATGGATTCGGTGTAGTGCTTTACTGCGCCGGCGAAATCGCCATTCTGATCGAAGTAAACGTTCAAAATCAAACTCAGAACACTGATCGTAGTTGGAGAATTACGGAAAGTGTTGGGGGGACAAAAACCATACCTTGAAGCAGACATTGCCTTCTTCGCGCGCTTTGTCGGAGAGCTCTGGGTTGAGGTAGGCTTTCCGCTCCTCTTCAGCCTTAGTTTTCTCGGCCTAGGTGAGAGGGAAAGTTAGGAGTGGCTTGAAAAAAAAAGGCCAAGTTGGATTGATGCGAGTGGAGTAAAAATCTGCTTACCTCTTTAAGCTTGGCAAGGGTATCAGGGGTTCGATGTTCGGTGAGAGATCTTTCAAGGTTTTTGATTGCCAGGTTATATTCACCCTTCTTCAGATAAGCTGAACCCATTCGAGCGAAAGATCTGTGGTTCATGATCAAAATGAGAATCATACGTGAATCACCAAGATACCTCACAGAAGAAGATGAGTAGGCAATCTTTCTTGACAAACTTTGCAATCACTTTATAATCCACACGTTTTTCACGACCCTCCTCAACAGCCCGCTCGCAGGTCTTGACACACTCGTCAAATTCTCCTTGTTCGAAGTAGGCCGCCGCCAGGTTGTTTAGATAGACCGGGTCTGGATTGAGGGAGAAGGCCTTTTCGTATGCAGCAATAGCCCCGGCAAAGTCACGGGATTTATAAAGGTTGTTGCCTGGCAAGAAAGAGTGTGGGTTATTAACTGTACGTCTGGCAAGAAGCAACAATTAGCCGCTCACCTTCATTCTTATGGTTGTCCGCTTGAGCTTTGAGCTCAGGATCTACGTCCTGGAGTGAAGACATATTTTCCTAGTTTGTTTCTGATGGATTTCGACTGGTGTTTAAAGTGTGTTGGGTTGGATGTTGTTTGTCAAGTCAGCTATTGAGAGTGAAGACTATGCTTTTTTTTCTGCTTTGGCATATATATCCAGACGGAGCAATTTGGATTATGTAAGCCCGATCTCACCAGAGGTTCTTTCTGGACTTTTCTAGAGGAATCACATCGGAAACCTGGGGCTGTCGCGAGTCTGTCACAGAAACATCCCAAACAGCAACCTCACACCGCCGCATGAATTTGAGGTCGCTGAAGGTTCTTGATGCCCCTCTGCCCACAGAGCCTAGGGAACATGCCTGAACAACACAGCAAGAGCTGTCTCAAACAGATAACTGGAGGACTTCCCGTCGCCTAAATTGCTTGATCTGGAAGGGGGTCCTAAACTCTATTGGCTGGTGAAAACTTGATCTTGATCAATTTTCGACAGCAAATAACGTTTGGGATGTCCTTCTAAATTTACAGATTTGGATGACGGGAAGTCCTCCACTATGTTCTGGAATCTGAGAGGCCAAAAAATTTACCTCACATGAAGATATCCAAAGCAAGCATGCCAAATTAGTACGCACCTTCCTGTTATGTTTCTTTTTCTGGGGTTTCCTTGTTACTCCCAAGAAAAATTTGAATGATCTAAACTTTCTGAAATCATTTTCTGGGTGGATTATTTTACAACAACAAAAAAAAAGAAGAGGAAAAGAAAGTTAAAGAGCTTGAAAGAATGTGTTACAATCTTGTCAAAAATGATCACATCTTTTAATGAATTGATGTGCCACAAAATTCAAAATTCAAATTGATGGACAAAAATTGCATATCAATTCTACTGCATTCTTGATCAAATGATTTGAATTGAGAAGATGAGCAAGTTCTGTTACTGATAAATTTGATAATGGGCCATGAGTAGAAATTCTAGGCTTCCAAGTCAAGGGGGCTGCTTCTGCACTTGAAATTGAATGGGGGTCTGTAAAGAAACATCAAGTCTTATTCCAAACTCAATCCTCATACTCAATTGATGGTAAATCAATTCCACACCTGCTGATCATCCAAATTTCAATTCAACTCTTACCACCCTTTTTATTTCCAAAAAAACGGTCATGAAAAGTGTAAATCCACCAATCTCTGGTCGTAATGACAATATACAGTCCATCCTTGAGGCCCCATTTGACAGTCCATTATATCATAAGAAAAAATATGTAAATCCAGATAATCAGGATAAGGTTGATAAACCTTAAACCAATTATCAAAAACTAGACAATCCTCTGCTTATTACAGTGGATTTTTGGTGTTACAGTGTGACCGACCACACACAATTTTTACTTATGATAATAAATGGGATCCCCCAAACAGATTTGCAGGATTTTCCTATGATATTTCATGATGTCATGGACTGCCAAACATAGCCTGAAGGAACAGTTGTTTCTGCTTCATATTATGGAAGTTCAGTGTATATAATAGACCAGTTGATTTCTCTTCATGAACTTACATTCCAATTGATATGGAAGACCTACTCAGTTGAGGCAAACTAATGATTTGTGCTCATCATCTGAGCGGAAAGTATCAATCAATTCATGTCAAAACAATGGACTGAGAAGAACGCTAATCATCTTCAGTCAGATTCCAACTAGACAAAGTAGCTGACAGCTGAGACTTTATAGGATGGGCACTCCAACTTTTCAATTTGTGATCAGAAATCACAATCAATCCAACACACACACACAGGAAGGTTAAAATAGACCAATACACTATCCAAGTAGTGGTTCAAAGCAAAACAAACAGTTTTGTTAACTGGTGCAGTCAGTTTTGGTTGTAAGATTTATAATGGGAAGCTGAGATCAAGAAGAAACAACTGAACTGGTACACAGATAAAATACAATAGAGGGGCATAACTGAAGTATCAGGCCAACTTCCAATATCCAACAATCAACCCTCAAAGAAATTAACAATGGCTCAATTCAGTCAATCCCTCATGGTATTGTGGGTTCCAGCATCCAAGAGCACATGTCACCAGAAATGCCATTATTCTTCTCTCCTGTCTTGTTTGTTTGCCCAGGTAACACATGATCACAAAGCCAACAATCATACACAAATTATTGACATCTTATGTATTACATGATCCTTATGGATCTATCATGCATCAGACTTGAGATTGGTTTTCAGAAAAGGAGGGGAAAAGTGAAAACAAGGTCTTGGGTGTAGAAGAAGAGGGAAGACATAGCAAAGGAGAAGAAAGAGAGAGAGAGAGCAACAACAAAAGGAATGCAAGGGGAATACAAACAACAATTCAACTGCTTGGATATTTACATGTATTTTCAACAGGTTCATCACCTCAATTGCAGACAAACTTGAGGATTGAAAAAACAAAAAAATACAGGCCATCACAGTGACCAAGCCAGAAGACACACACATGCCACAAAAAAAAAGGAAGACAAACTAACATTCAGCAGAAAGAAATCCTTTGCTTCACACAAACCAGAATTTGCTAAAGGGAAGGAAGATGGAATTGGATAGACTGTGGTCCAATCTAGTTACTAGCTCCACTGCCGCCGCCTTGAACAACACGATCGGCAGGATTCCATAGCAATTCGACTGCTTCTCTGCCTTGAGAAGAACCTATCCCAGCAACGGCACTGCCACCAGCAACGGGTACGACAGCATCTTGACTGCTATCGTTTTGATGGTGTTGAAGATGTCCGACTTGTTGGGGTCCAGCACTGACGACTCCAAGGTTGAGTGTGTTGTCGATCGACTTCGGCTTGAACTCCAAATTCGATAGTAAGACAGACCAGATTTCGCTGAAGCCTGAGCATACTTTTCCGCCATCGCTGAGCATCTTCAACACAGTCTTCATCGATCTTCCGTCTCGAACTTCATTCCAATGAGTTAGCATGTAGTTGACTTCGATTTTTCTGATCTCTTCATACGCCGATGTGAAACTCGAGAATACTTCCATCGGTATGCTGATTAAATACAAAGGATTGTCAGCGCGAACCGCCCACTTGAACAATGTACAGAGTACACTTACTTTTGTACCGTCAAGGATCGTGTGATGTGCTCAAAGGCTCTCGACTTGAGTTCTGTCAGATTCAACTTATCCGCCAATCTGTGGGGCATCATCATGGATGCATATATGTCAGTTCTGGGGGAATTCAAAGGAACGCAATGCTCATAAAATAAGAAAAGGTGCGGGGGAGGGGATCAACCACTTACCGATATATAGCTTTCGCACTGCATACTAGACTGGAATCAACTGCTGGTCCATTTGGAACAGATTGGCCCCCACTGCCGATAAAGGCCGCCTTGGCTATCACGGCATTTCCATAGGCCTTTCGAGACGGATAACAGAATGGGACGCCTGCTTCCAAAGCCTCATCTTTCAAACAATGATACGTTGATGACAATGGTGCAAAAGATATTGAACTAGTTCAAGTATCCCCATCAGGAAATGGAAACAAATGGGTCATTAGCCATCGCGGATTAGTTCACTGGACATGGAGACTAGGCAACTCACTCAGTGTATAAGAAGTACAACAAAGCCTTGAAAGTTGTGTAAGCTGCGTCAGTGACTTCGATCACCGTCATTTTCCTTGATGATCTCAAGTTGGTGGGCTTTCGCGCTGGCTTGGATTGGCCGCCTGATTTGGTTTGATGTGTGGTCCGAGTAGGAGATAAATCGGTCGAGGGATTGGAGTGACCGATTTTCAAAGCAGCTCGATTATCTTGGCTGGGGTGATTTGAATTTGGTTGGTGTGTGATTTTCAAGCCCGGGGAAGCTGAGCAGACCGGCGCCGGGTTGAGACTCGTCAGATGGGAAGTCTGAGGATCAAGGGCAGTCAAATGAGCTGGAGGCGTTTCTGGGAGAACCTCAGAGCTGTTATCAGCAATTGTACCGTAGTTGACTGATTGACCGTTTTCTTCAGCCATTCCATCGCTCGTCAGTATATTCAATGATCTGTCCGCACTGCCATCTGATTGCAGTATTTTATCGTGATTCGCTGTGCCAAATGAATCGTTATTATCTTGGAGTCTGATTAACTCGTGATCTCCTGAATCCCTCTTTGCTGGTTCAGCACCAGTCTCGTAGGACTCAAGCTGCTTTTCTTTGAGGATGGGTTCTTCCGTTAATTCCTCATCTTCATAGTCTTCATTCATTACATTTTCATCGTCATCACAATCATCTGAATCTTCCTCCATCAAGTCATCTTCGTCATCGTCGTCGCAGGGTTCTCCCGGGGAGAATCGGTCGGAGTTCATCAAGTCCTTCAGTTGATTGGGATCATCAGAAGAATCGTTGCTGAGAGTAACGGTAGACTCGGCGAAACCAGAGCCAAACATCGTGCTGAAGTATTCACTGCGTCGGATGAGAATCTTTTTGCTAGCATACAGCCTGCGAACAACATAATTGGAGGTGCCTCTTTGATCTGAATTTGCATCGCGATGACGGCGGCGACGAATTATCTTAAAGCATATATCCGAGTACAATGGGTCGTTAAAGAGAGAAGAATAGGCCTCGAGGAGATCCAACGGCATGAGCTTCTTGATGGACTGAGTCGTTGGTTGAGGGGCAGGTGGGGTTGGACTAAGGTGACAACAGTTGAAAAGCGAGGCAAATGGGCGAAGATGTACATGTCAGTAAATCAGAATGACCTGGCTATCTGTTAACAAGTGGTAAGGAAGGTACAGAGATTCAGCGACAACTTACGAGTAAACTATGGTACAGCAGATCAGAAATGCATCGTTATACTTTGCCTGTTGATGAAAAGACGGGTGGATTCACAGTAAATATATTTGGGCAAATTATGAAATGGCTGATGAAAAGAGATGAAGTATCCGATTCAAAAGCAGAAACTCAACAGAAGGGTTGGAATAATAGGCATCGTTTCTTCTCCAGTATTGAGCCCATCCCCAGTTGCGAGCTTCATGACTGAATGCATGATCGTTGGCTTCCATGGTCTTGTAGGTCGTTCTACGATCTAAACTTTTGATCTTTTTGTGTTTTCAGTCAAAAAAAAAAACTTGTTAGCGGATGATATGGTCGAGTATTCTGGAGGTGAAGAAAAAAAAAATTGAAAAAGTAACATTATACCTCGAAGGTGAACTTGAAGAGTCCTTCCCTTTGCCATGGTACCTGATTTGGATCAAGTGGTTTGAGATGAGCAGAATTGGCTAGATGATTCGTGAGCAGGAATTGTAAAGAATACTAGCCATCAACTCGCTTGCTTCGTGTTTTGGCAAAGATGAACAAGGCGATTAACTTACGGCTGAGGCTTGCAGAAGAAGCGGATGATGGCAAGAGTGAATGCTTTGTTAATTGGTATACAGCGGCTTTCTCGAATTCCTCAGGCGTTGGTTGGCAAGATAGGTAGAGGGAGCAATACTGGTCGTGGCCGGAATTTCTGGATAGAAGGAGTGGCGAGGTTGTATAATCAAGAAAGAGTTCAGCATATATGTACATACACTCTCTCTTAATAATCTTATTTTGTTTTTGAAGGAGAAAAAGGAATGTTGAAACTTACGGGTAGAAAAACACTTGCCATTTTCCTTGGCCGAAGAACGCAGATTTAACACACTTTGACTTTGTGTCACCCTTGGATGAATCGAAAATGTGTTTCAAGTTTGAAAGTTTCCATTCAAGTGAAACCTGTTAAATTTAAAATATAGTAAATTCAGATCATGATGATGATTTCCGGTTGAAAGAAGCCCACAATTATAGGAAATAAATGAAACGAACGCTTTTGATTTCCAAGAACTCTTGCTTGTCGCTCAGGCTAGGAGAGCCACCTGCTGGTTTGTTCATGTCGATTTATTTATAGTACGTGGTAATTGTGAAGTAGTTTGGCAAGATTGTTGAGGTTTTGGGATAAGAAAGGACGATTAAAATATAAGAACTGTAGAGATAAGCAGGAGGAGGGATCGATGGTCAACGGTCTCCTACTCTGGAGAGACTACAGTAACCTACGCCACGGGCACGGGGGCAAACACGGGGTCTACGGGGAACAACAACAGCAGCAGCAAGCAGCAGAAAAACCGCAAACGCTGCCCCAAAGACTTCTTTTTTTTGGATGGTGGTATCTTGCGAACCACATGGATCACCATGAGTGTGAAAACCCGAGTGGCATGCCAGCAACCGACATCGAAGAATCGTATGACCAAGGCACACCTTCCTAGCACACCGGAGATGTTGGTTGCCATGTGTAACACTCGACCCAACATTTGCACTGCGAAATGGATGGCTCCAATTTCCAAAAGATGTGATCATTGTCTATCATTGTCCAATACAACACTGCAGGCTACAGAAAAAAGAAAAGGAAAGAATCATCACAGCACCACAAGGGGTAGGTACTCAAAAATAAAATAAAAAGTTAAAGAACTGATTGTGAGGATAATCTACAGTGATTATGGGAAGTCAAGGATAATATTTAACCACCTTGATGAATCATATCTTCTATCGAGAGTTCTGATGTGAGAGTAACAGTGATAAATTGTGTTCTAAAAGAGAGATCCACCAAAGTAAACTAGAATCAAGACCAAATTTACAATAAACAGGATTGATCTTTTTCTTCTATGTCGATCATGGAAATAGTGATGGTGGTAATGAGAACAGGGAGGCAAGATCTACTTCAAATGGAATCTGTTGGGCAATGTATGTATCAATGATTTAGGTGCTGAAATTGGTTGTTCTACATGTATGAAGAGCCCACACCATTTTTCTCCTTCATTCTTTGAAAACAGTTGCATGCAATTGCATGAGAGTGTCAATTTGACTGATTGGTCTTGGGACAGTAAACTTAGGGGGTGTGTAATATGACATGAAAATTCAAATTTCCAGGATTTTTCAGATTTTGTTTTCCTCAAATATTTGTATTTACAATCATCAAAAGTTGCCATCACCAAAAGGCAAGATCTTGGCCCAGAAGTGAAGAATTTTCAACACCAGATCTTCCGACTTTAGTTTTCAAATTTTGTGTAGAACTTAGAGAGCAGAAACAATGATGATTTTCCAAAATTCAATCTCATGGTACAGGCCCTTAATGTTGTATCAAAATTGAACCAATGTATAATATGTGCCATGCAGAAATCACTGGGAATGGCAAGGAGAAACAATATTGATTATGCCACAATCTTTTTAAAGCAAGTAATTAAAGCTGGATGTATTAGTAGAGATTGCTGCTGATTTCCCATCATTTTAATTATTGACCTACCAAAAAAAACTCAGTTGTAGATTGACTGGAAATCATCTTGAATTTTACAAGATGATGAGGATGTACATAAATACTTCAAAGCACTACAGCATTCCAACTAGACCACAATCATCATTGGTTTGGCTCAAATTTTTTTTGACATGGATGATAGCCATTAGGATGACTATGTATATCCAATTGTAAATATAGTAAAGTCTCAATGAAACCCACTCATGATCATAGTCAAGATATAATTTGTGCATAGTTATAATACACTGGCCCACTAGGGTGCTGGCAAACTTTGTTCATAAACAGGTAACTCAAAAGAACTGTGTAAACATCTCAGGTCAACTTGGTCTTGAAGGCCTTATCTTCTCTCATATTGTGATACTAGAAGATGCCTTTATCTTTGATCATGTACGTCAATAATACATCTGTAAAAGCGTCTCTTGCTTGGACTTTAATCAAGTAAAGTGAAGCAATTTGAACAACAAGAACATCTACAATGTTCTTTACCATTTCATATTCAAAGAAAATAGACAATTATTATAATTGACCAAATAAATAATTCAACAACTGAAATAAGGAAACCTCCCTCCCAAAAAAAAAGAAGATATGTAGATGAGAAGTTGTAGTAATGTAACAAATAATGCAAAAAAAAGGGGGGGGGGCTAAAGTGACAAATGATTACGGTATTACTGAGAGATGATTTTGTTCAAGTTAATTCAAGCACAAAGTTGAGGGAGGGGTGATAGGGACTAGGTGACGACAGAGAGAGCAGCCCAATCAGGCAAGATAGAGGAGGCGATTTTGAGGCCGATGAGTTTGCGTTGGTATTCGATCTGCTCTTCATTCTCCTCGTCCTCCTCCAACTCGTCCAAGTTGATGATCCCATGGACGGAGGGGGAGAGATGGTGGATGTCGAGCTCCTGACTGACGAGGCTCGACTCGACGACCGAGTCCCAGCGTTCACGGATCACCTCCTGGCCGCCGATCTTCATCGAGCCTGCTAGGGAGCCCCCGATCCAGGCCAGGAGATTCATCTGGAACTGAGCCGGCCGGCTCCGTCGGATGGTCGTCGTCGTCGTTGTTGTTGTGGATGTCCGGACTAGCGGCTCTGGTGATGAGTCAAAGTGATTGAGGATCTCCAAGTCGTGACTCAAGGAATGGAGCGGACTGAATTTCCTTCGACTCGCCAGCCATCTTCCCAGTTCCTGTTGCTTCTTCGTCTTCTTGGATGATTGCTCATCCGTGGATGGCGGTGGCACTTGAAACTCTTCCAAGATACTGATCAGCTCGAACTTGAGTCGAGCTAGAAACCCAGGCAACATGGCACCTCCGCCGGAGACGATGAGGTTGCGGACGATCGGCCGTCGGAGATCGATCGGAAGTTTCAATAAGCTTTCCAAGATCACTTCAGGTATGCTCAAGCTTTCATCTTCTTCCTCTTCGATCTGACCGAAACTGAGGGTCGGATTGAATAGGATCTCACTGGCTCGTTCTCGTATCCAAGCTGGGATTCGAATCACGCCAACACAGGGTGCTCGAGGGTTAGTAGATTGTGATGGTTGGAGAGCAGGTAGCTTGTATACAACATCTTGGGTGTCAGGAGATGTCGATTGCTTATAGATTCTTTCGAGCCTATCTAAAAGTTTGTGGTTCCTGAATTCGGAGTAATCTTCCACCAAGCCTTGATTATCTTCTGCCTGCTCTACTTCTTCGGCTGAGGAAGCTTGGATTGGTTCTGATTGATGATCAAGCCGAAGTCTATCTTGACTGACAAACAGGAGACGCGTCTTGATATCCTCAACCACTGCGGGTGTCAGGATCCCAGGCGGCACACGAGTTGGCTTGGAGATTCGTGGTGCGTTTGTTGAGATTGATGATTGGCCGAACTTGGGGATGATGAGATACTCGGCAAAGCGCGAAAGGAGTACGGTCAGACGCGAAGTTAGTCTTGATCCAGCGCGCGTGGTAGATTTGATCATAGGAAACAAGGGTCTAGACATATAAACCTGTCAAACAAATTCGCGTCAGAGTCATCTATTTTTGAGAGAGAGAGAGGAGAGAGAGATGTGTTCGTACGGGTATGACCGAGGATTCTAGATTTCCGACATCGATGACTAGCCCGGTTAGGATCCCACAGGCCATGAGTGTCAAGACAGGGGAGGGGGTGAATGAGATGCTGGGGACGTGAAGCTGGTCGAATAGGACGATGGCGATCTCTGAGCGAAGGTTGGTTGGGATCAGAGGATTCTCGATGAGGATGAGCTTCCTCTGTTTGGGATCGATCATGAGATGGTTGAAGAAGATCCTGGTGAGGCCGATTGAGATTGCGTCTGAGATCAGTGAGATCGTTGTTGATGAGGAGATGTTCCAGATGGAGTGGATGTTGTTGCTGAGGATCGGCTTGCAGAGTTCGTTGACGGAGATGACGACTCTTGGGCTGGTCTCGGAGGAGAAGCCGGCCTTCCATACCTTGGAGCCCAGGTCGAGGATGACCCTGTCGTCAGTCCCATAGAGTGAGTGCCTCGATCTGAGGTTGGTCGTATAGGCTGGCGATGGCCCGGTGCGGAGGTTGGAGGGGTGGCTGATGATAGTCCTTGTGACTGCGCTGGGTGGTGGGTTGTTGTTGGTCAGCCGAGGAGTCCTTGGGGATCGTTGGAAGGATCTCTGGGGAGTATCGGATGCCATCCTGCTTGGTTCTTCATTGAAGTGCTTCCTTCACTTTCAACACACTATTAACTGAAGCTGATCCAAAATAAATACATGAACCCCGAATATCACATAATCAGAAATTAACCCCCTCTCCGAAGAGCAAAACTCAACATGCCCAATTAATGATCCTTTCCTCTTTGTTCTTTTGCATCGACTGCTTGGTCGATGCGCTGGCGCTCAAAATACCAGCTTACTGCAGTCGCCTCATCGCGCAATTTTGACTGATCATCAGCTGTCTCGGCAGTGGTACATGAGGGAGGGGTATCTATATACGCACCCAGAATCTAAAATCTTAATGCAAACAATCGGAGGAAAACAAAATTGAGCTGACTGCAAACGCTCAAGGGCAAGCAGCTGATCAGGTGAACAGCTCAGCCAGTTGGAGTCACGCAAGGGGTGAGCTAGCATCCCGCCGCGGCCGAGCAGGCCACGTCGTCGTTAGATATGTTAACCGCAGGGCAAAAGTAGGAATGGTGCAGGAAGGTATACAACAAAGTCTCTTGACTCATGAGGAGACAACTGCAATCAAGAACATTTTTCCTTAAAAACCGATGGTCTACATAAGGATAATTAAGATGTCGCTGCTCTTCATCCTCTGCCTTCCTCTCATCGCCCGGTCCAACAAGCTGCCCCATCAACGTTCTCCGAATGATCTCTCAATCACTCACCCCCCTATCGGATTGTCCATCAAAACAAAAACTGCAACAAACCCAAAACAAGCATCCTTTCAAGCAAAACATTTTCCCAAATATATATATATTTTACATGCGTCTCAGACATAAAAAGTACAGTTGCTATCTACATATACCAAATCGAGTTGGGTGGATGTCGAAGAATTTTTAGCCTCATGAAGCTCATCAACTCCTTTTGATAAGAAAACGGTATCCAGAAGATTGATAAGTGAAAGAAAGAAAGAAAGAAAGAAAGAAAGAAAGAAAGTGATGAACTGATTGAATACATATACATAAAAACCTACCCAAGTTAATCACACATTGGCGTCAAGATGCAAGAAGAACAAAACCAAAACCAAAACCAAAAAAACAAAAACTATCTCAACCCCACTCTTCTTTATCTTGACCATAAGCTAGGTCGCTCGCTTAATTTTTTCAACTCGAACGTGGTATACTCGTTTCGCTAGATATTGGCGAAGAGTTGCGTTGATGCCGTCGAGGAGAGATCACAGCCCCACTGATCAGATCGACCGCTGGACCACCAATGAAGCCATAATCAAAGTTTGAGCCCGGCCAGCTTGGACTCGAAGACTTGTCGGGTACCGAAGGCAGATGGCTAGGCGGCTTTGGGAACCCATTCGTCGAGTAAGGGTAAGACCTCATCGGAGGGCAATGATCGAAGATCATCGGCTTGATGGGTTCCTGGTTTGACTGCCAGGAGGCCCATTGATTTGGGTAAGCTTCGAGGATTCCTTTGGGGTCGTAGGGAGTACTCGGGCTCGAATGAACCGGCGAACGGAAGTGGTTGACTTCATTCGGGAATTGCATCGGTTCGAATTTCGTATTCGTATAAGATGGCCAACCGTTCGAGTGATGCTTCACGTTGCAGGCCATAGGCTCCCACAAGTTGTAAAGCCCCCCGGGTACGGTTGGACTTTTGTTGAACGAAGAAGGACTTGATTGGATCGGCCGTTTCGCTAATGTGACGACCACCTCAAGCTCTTTTAGCAAGTTTACTTTGGGCCCGGGACGTCGTCCGGGGCTAAGCTCGCCCTCCTTCGGCCTAGTGGCCGGATCCATCATGCCGTTGATATCTACGTCAACCTTTCTATTAAAAAAGGAGAAGTTTCAAAACATCTGTCAGAACGACTGCAATGTCTTGGGAAGATGAAAAAATAACGCACGGATTAGGCGCCGTCGCCTTGGCCAATCGGATTTTGAGAGGCGCTTCTACGTCGAGCCAAATTTTCCTATCGAGGTGTTGCACCAGCGCGACAGCCTCATGCTTATAAAGGACACTGAAACGAGATAGAGATTTATCAACTTCCTGGATGGAGCGACTACGCAGACGGAACTAGGAGATCAGACTTACTTGACGAAGCCTACCCCCCGACTCAACCCGCCGCCGGCATTCGATGCAATCTTGTCCCTAATGACGTGCACCTTTTAAATTATTCAAAATCGCGTATGAAGAGAGAAAGTTGGATAAGAGAGAGTTTTCAGAACGTTGGTCACGCGAAAATCTTGTTTTGGCGAACAGGAATCCTCGGAATTTCAAACCTACCGTCAGAATAGGGATGCCATCAAATATCTGGGCCAAGTCGTACTCGCTCCAACTCTTTGGGAAGTTTGCCAGGAATATGTTGGTCGGCGAAGGTGGATGAACAGGTGGTAATCTCAAGTAGGCTATGGCAGAGGAAGAACTCTAGATATTCGATGACATGGAGAAGACACAAGGAATCGTCGTTAGCTGAGCTCGAGGCTCCTCACTACTATTCCCCTTAAAGACATCGACTCTTTTCGACGAAGAGAAAAAAAAAATTAAGGGTACGGATGTTTAGGGCTAGAGTTTCAATACAAATTTCATGATGGTATCACGGTCATCCAGTTCTACAGTCAAAGCACAATAGCTATGAATCTATGAATAGCTATACTAATCAGATGAACGGCGAAGATTTCTGTGCTCGACAATATATAGCCGATCATCCTCAAGGAGGGTGGAAGTTTTAACCCGCGGGCAAGCAATCGACACTTGTACAGTACTCTATGTATGTATCTGTTCAAGTAGGAATTCGTGCAAATCTTATTCGGATATCATGCTGGCTTCACGCCCCATCTGCAGCCACCCTTCCGGCGGAGCGATTCAAGCAAACCAGAACTGAAGAGATCCTTGACTTACGTGTTCATCATTAAAATCCGGAATCTCGGGAGAAGTCTGTTCCCCTAGATGAAATTGGAAGCCATCCAGTTTAGGAATTGGCTGGTCGTTTGCCGCAGAGACCCAACGAGTTTGCTCCATAAGATCAACTCAAATAATGGAATATATAATCAACCAAGGGTGAGCTGTTTACAGATTACAATGCCCGGAAAAAAAAGAAGGTTTCAAATTCTTGGGATCGGACTCGAATGACACATCCAGAGGTATGAAGAAGCTGGCGTAACGATATTGAACTGAAGACTCGTCCGACTTTTGTGTGTTTTTTGTTGTTGTTGATGATGATGATGATGATGCTGGAATGATACTGAGAAGAAATCGCAATCTAGGAAACAGCAACACTGACAGGATGCAATGTATACTTCATCGAGCAGCTTCACTTGCCCCACGATCCGGGAAGCTGGGGCTCACGTAGAGAGAGAGAGAGCGAGTGTGTGTGTGTACCTCTCTGCGTGGTCAACTCTGGGAGGACACCGTCCTGATAACTTGCCGCGGAAGGATGGGGAATCGGGTTTGGTGGAAAAAAAGGGACTTGAGAAGATAGGCTTTCGAAAAAATGCCACAACGGAATGGATTTTCCACCAGTCACAGCTTCTTCTTTGTGTTAAGCTTTTTTTAAGAAAAAAAAAAAAAGAAAGAAAGAAAGAAGGGAAATTCCGCTTTCCTTCCACCGGGGCTTTGTTCTGCTGCTTGGAAAGGTGTCAAAAGGGTTGTGGGCCGTAGAGACCTTATCACCAACCAGCTCGATTCTGAGGCTGTTTGGAACGGAAGCTTGAATGACCATCTCCGTTTGTATTTCAATGTACATAATAACGCTCAACCCACTCCAGGCTGGGATTGTGTTTGTACGACTACAGCCCCGGTCCGGTGTGGTGTCAATGTAGTGCTATCTGAGCCCTAGAGCGATTATTTGAGAGACAAACTACAAAGAAACCGGTCGGCTCGTGATTGGGAGGAGGCAATGGGGTATAACTAGCTCAGGGGCCTTAACACCTCATGACCGAATAAAGCCGGTCTGGGTCCCTTGAGACTACGGATGCTTGTATGGCAACGCCGTAAGAGCTTAAACCACTCTTCTCGCTCGGTCATCTTCCCGGCGGCCCTTCGACTCTATATACTCTACCATCACTTCCGGCGATATTCCAAGTCCAAAGAACTATAGTCTATAGGCGTTTATTTTTTTTTTCTTCCCCAAGTTCTTTGATCGGAATGCCAAGATGCTGACCTGTTTGGAAATGTCGTGAGCTTTGCGATTGCATCTCGTGGTTGTCCCATGGACTTTTTGGGTGATGGATTGGCATTCATGATCTTCGCTTCGACGCCTTCCTCTCCTCTCCTTGAGGCTCTTCTCGCAAAACTGTCTTTTGGAAACCAAGAAGGCGCTGCTATGTAAATGATTTTCAGTTCAACAGAATCTTGACCAAACGCCCCGGATTTAGCCCAAATTACCTGGCCATCCATGCACACTGGCGATAGCCTAATCAACTTATTTTGGCGACGAAGACAGCAGATTTTTTTTTCCAAGGGTTGATATTCGACCCAAGCCAAGCGGAGAGCAAAACGAACATCACTTCCACTTGATGGCTTGCAATTTTGTGGAATGCTGACCACTTGATATTCAAGCTGCTGCTGAACTGCATCGAGTGGTACCTTTCCAAAAGCAAAATGCACACTTTTACAAATCCAAAGGCCACAAAATCCAGAGTGATAAACATAGAACAAAATACCCCGATATTGTACATCTTCAGCATTAATAACTTTGCTAATTTGTGCATACTACGATGAAAACACGCTAACTGGCCGGGATTTTCATGCACTTTAGACTCATCTTTTGCGGCCTTTTCGGGGATTTTATGACCATCCATTATCTCGTTCTTTCCCCGTCAGATCTATGTATCTTCTATACGGTACATAATCCGTGTGCTACGTAGTACTTGACGCAATATCAAAGAGGAGATGAAGAAACTTTCTCTCAGAAAATGCGCTTTGAGTGATGCAAATTAAGGACGCCCGAATCGGCAGATTATCGGATTAGGCATGTGAGGCATTTGGTGGTATGGCGGAGTACATAATTGTGAGATTTCTAGCTTGTTGTCGTTCCTGTCGTTACCATCTTCTTGGTGATGCCCTTTGTACTAGCAATCTTCAAATGAGACTCACAGGCCTATAATGATGTTTTTATGAATCTTGCTCCAAAGAACTGTCCCCACTGTAAAGAAAGCGTTGGCTCCAATGAGATTTGTCAAGTACGTTACACACCTGCCCATTCTTTCACCGCCTTCGAAATGCGTGGGTGTAACTTCTGAAGAATCTGACACAGGTGACTGGCCGATGCAGCTCAAGATTTGAAAGAATTTCCTACAAGATCTCGAAATGGACGTGATGATTGTAATTTGTATGTAGGAAACTTTCTGATTCATCACAGAATTCGACACCGTGGCGGCTACTGGTGGCTTTGGAACACGTAGCCTACGAGCCCAAGCTTGTCGTGCTGATCTGGAAAGACTGCTTTGTAGCAGAAATAAACATGGGGGATACATAGCAGTGGCACTGATTTAGGTATCTTGACTTGATCGTTACCAAGAACACCGTTGCGTTGTCTGTCGTCTTTGCTATTCAATCTCTACATGGCATCGATTCTTATGTACAATAGCAATTGCAATTCAAACAGAAAGAAATGTTTGTTCAAATATGAAGAAATGTTTGAAGTGCTAGTAACCTATATTGCGCTTTGTAGAATTAGGAATTATGAGCCAAAGCTTGAAGTTGAGCAAATCCCCTCAAGCTGGGGACGAGTGCCATAACGAAAGTTTTGGATCTTTTTTGAGGTAATGTGTTTCCTTGCAGTTGAAATGATCTGACTTGGTGGATTTTTCCCTCAGCAAGTCCGGTGCACCAATGTCTTTCAAGCATGGCTTCAGAGAACAAATTGTAGTCTTAACGTTTGAATCTCATGTCATTTTTGAAAACGGCACCAAGTAGGAAGTGTGAAGTTTTGTAGTTGTGTTCCACACTTGTGAGGAGGTAAATTGATGGTCCTTCCTTTATGACATTCTTACAGAGCGTTGGTATGCTCATGATGGATTTCCAGCACAGAGCCCATTGAATCAGAGATACGAAGAAGTGGCCCGAATTGGCACAGGCTCTGGCATCACGCAGTCTAAGTCTTTCTGAAGCAGTCGAACTTGCTACATGCTAGCTTTTGGCTTCACAAGCGAAGCAATCACCATGACTTTTCTAAGCATGTTAAGCCGAGAGAGAAAACAGGTCTCTTTCGAATCACCCTGAGGAATATGATGAAAACTGACAAGAAAAGAAAAGAGAAGGTGCGATCACGAGTGGTGGATATGTTAGGGTATGGCAGACATATGATTTAACAAGGATGTCACAGGGGGTTACAAATGTTGATCCAACTTAAAAACAATGAGCAACTCGCAAAAAAGCACAAAAACCTAGCGAAAGTTGACGATTGAAGAGAACAATGCTTGATGAGAAGAAGAGCAGTGGTCTAAGGCAGCCTTAGAGGGATCGGGTTAGAGGTCGCAGAAGTTCGATCCGATCTATTTGGTTTTAACCTTGCCCTGTTTCTTCAACGAAGGGAGCCAGCTGATCGCATTCTTGTTGTAACATGGCCAAGGGGGGACAACGACCTGAAGTGAAGAGAGAATTGGAATAAATCAGTTATAATTCTTCAATAATGTGTTGGATTCCTTTAATAGGAGAAAGTACTTACCAGGAGAGCAGTTAGAAACCCAGCTCCGTAGATCCCAAACGTCAACAGCATCGATTGCAAAGCATATCCAGCAACCAATGCGATGACCTATACACAGTAGCAAGAAGTGGGGGGGGACCAACGTTCAGAATGATTGAGATTTCGAAAGGTTAATTAAGAGAGATGCTTACAGTTGTGAGTGAGAGGATCAAGTTGTTCAATTGATCAGCCTTCCTTTGGCCTTCAAAGTCGATCTTTCCTTCGAAGGTAGCTTTGAGTTGGTCGACGTAGCCATCGATGACTTTTGAGAGAGCATCCATCGTTTGTGTTGGTCTGTTTTTTGATTTGATTGAGTGGTGTGCTGATAGTTTTTTGGGTGTTCGAAGCCACGTTGCAATTAAATATGTAGTAGCAGTGGCTGGGGGATGGATGTACTACCACGATTCGGTGACAGGTCATCGGCCACTCTCAGTCATGGGCCTGTTACCCGTTTCATCCATGTCGACGACGTGTTTGAGGCTGTGACATCTACACCAGTCAACATATGAAGCTCTTTACTTTAGGTTCTATACATCGTTATCAACCAAGGACACACAACAGCTTTGGTGTATAAATTGATGTGAGCAGCTCCTCTTAGTCTTATTTGTGTCGCCATCGCAGCCCGTCTTCTCATCCTTTTCTCTGGTTTGGCGCTCGGCTGATAGATAGGCTGCAAAGACCCAGCTCTCCTATCTGGCCGAGTTCTGCATTGCTCTAGCGGCGGTGGCCAATGTGACAAATACCCAAAGTTCATCGTGGCCAGCCAGTCACGGAGAGTCTCCTCGAGCAAACTTGTGTCACACTCTCTCCCCAATACAGCACTGGGAAATTGGGCGAAAGAAAGCTTACGAGAGGGCCCAATTGAGATACCGCCCTGCCTGTGCCAGTGGTCATCCCCATCACTCTAGTGTGATCCAAGTCAAAGAAAGATAAAACATGGAACTGCTGGGTTTGATCCGAGTGAGCCACGAAGATAAGGTGATCATTGGTAAACAACAGTTTGGTCAAACTCGATAACACGCTCAAAGAAAAAAAAGGGGCTGAGGTCATATATGATGTATAGTGAGAATTGCTCTATTCAACGGGAATGGGCTATGGTTTTGTAGAGCGAAACAGCAGGGGTGATTTTCCTCCTTCTGTTCTTGTGATGGGCAAATAATGGTACTGGAATACGGTTCATGAAGAGAGTTGTTAGAAATTTGCGTCCATGCTTTTTGGTCCTCACGTGAGAAGAGAACCCAGTGACATGATCACCTCTCAGTGTTGCTCTTGTGAGTTGTGTCTAGAGCCATCCAGTACGTATCAGGGTTCCGGTCCTTCAGGGCTCTAGATTAATTCTTCCACACTCGCCATGGAGAAAGCTTTTTACACTGTTGTCTTGATTGGAGCATTCTGATGGACAGAGTGACCCAGTTGAGTTAGGGTGCAAGTGCGGCCCCTTCGGGAGGTTCATAGGGGGCTCGGGTATTCGGTCGGGGTTTGGGGTATGTTTTTTTTTGGGAACGGTCAACAAGGAAAACCCAGAAACCTCGAAGCTGCATACAACTACATCCATCCACATCCACATCAATCTCATCAACCCACAGATGTTCTAACCAGGCCATCAATCAACAACAACACCAAGCAAACCATGAGCTCGACCACCCAATCACCCGACCTGGCACTGATACTCTGGCTCAAATCACTCGATCTACCCTACTTTCAAACAGAGCATTCATCAGGAGAACCCAAACCATTCGATCGATTGGGTCAGATCAGTGATGGGGAACTACTGTGGCAACTACTCTCCAGTCTGTCAGTTCATCACTTCCATTCCTGCTCGATTTCTTCTTGAGATGGAATCTATCGATTTGACAATTATCTGGTCTCTTTCTATCCAACATCCTCTAGTGATTCGGCATTCTTTCGAGCTCCTAGACCCTCTTCTATCAGTGGAGCACTATCTGAAGTCTGGGTACTCAGATTCACCTCATTCAAAAAGATGTACAAACTAATCGTCCGTTATTTCGAGTACGTAATCACATCCTATACCACCTTTTTGGAACAATATCAGACCTGCTAAGCAACACTCAATTGTGATCATCCAGAGAGGAAATCAGAAAATCGACCAAGAACTTCAAAAACCCAAACCTACAGAAAATCGCAAAGGATGGTGATGTCAGCGAGAGTATCTCACTCTGTATGATCATCCTAACGTCAGTAAACCACACTCATCAAACACCTGCCTAGGAAACCATTTAACGTCCGATTTGGATTGCTTCGTTTTGATAGAATGGCAACATTAGTCCAGCCAGATGTTCACGTTCCTAAGATACAAGCTTTACCCACTTGGGCACAAACAGCCTTGATGGTCGGCATTGAAACCGTCAGCAGTCAACTCATCACCCTCGAAATGAATAGAAGTCCTCATAGAGATACCGGTCGATCGGGCGAAGTCGAAGACGTCCGCGCAGTCGAAGATACATTCAACAGACCTCGGTCATCCAACTCCAACTAGTACGCCTTTGAGTTTTTCTTCTTCTTTTCCATATGCCCGTCACGACCCAGCCACGCTCATGGTCTGGAATTACGTAGCTCTGGCTAATAGTAAATTTCTCCGAAACATGTTTCTTTTTTGAAGCCGGGAAGAAGACCCCCATCTGGTAGAACGCCTCCGTGCTCTCGAGGTGGAACACAGAAACCTTCAATCCGAAATGAGAATGTTACAACAAACCCATCAGGACACCAATCATAAGTTGTTCATGACCGAGCAAGATTTGAAAGCCTCGCAGGAAGAGTTACAGAACCTTGAACTCGAACGGAGCTCCAACCACCGTCGACGCGAACGCGATTCCGAGCCCGGCTCAGATGATGATGGTTCGAATTCAGATCATCCCCATCGAAGCTCACACAACAGGCAGGAATATCTACTTCGAGGCGAACTTGAACAGTCAAAAGCTGAACTTACCAATCTGGGCGTCAAACTCGATCTTGCCGAAGAGACCAATGAGAGAAACGTTAGGACGATGGAAGACATGCGCAAGAGGTTAGACGAACTTGGTGACGTAGAAGAGATTAACCGTGGATTGAGAGATCAGCTTGATGAGGTTCGACATGAGATGGAACGTGCCCGGAAGCTTGAGAATGTGATTGAGAAGTACAAAAAAAAGTTGGACGAGTCTGCTGATCTTCGAAGGCAAATGAAGGTTCGTCTCATATTCTTTGACAATTTCAAATTGTGATGGTATCTGATATGACCTTGGTGTATGTATTAACCACAGACCTTAGAAGAACAAAACTCAGATTTACTCGACCGACATACGGCATTAGAAGATGAATATCATAAAGTAGTAGCTTTCAAACCGCTGATGGAACAATACAAATCGAAGATTGCCACCTTAGAATCTGAACTTTCTTCTCAAAAACGGGAAAATGACCGCTTGCAGTATGAATTAGATGCTACCAAACTCAAGCTACAACAGGCCGAAGAAGAACGCGATCGAGAAGGTGAAGAGCTAGCATTATATGAGGAGAGGGTTAAGGAGCTTGAGGAAGAAACACCGATCACACATACGCGACGACGGAAGAAAACTGCTGAAACTGAGGAAGGTGAAGAGGGTGATACATCTACGACCGCCTTTGATGCAAGTTTCGATAGGCATGTCGATGAGGAAACCGGGATTATCGAAGGGATTGGCGGTGAGCTAAATGATGCTATCGAAGGTCGAACAATGACCAGTCTTAAGCTTGAACTCAGGAAACTGCAACGCGAAATCAAAATTCTCAGGAGCGCTCAAGATGAAGAAGATGAGGACGGAAATGGGCCTAGCAAGAAATCTAGATATCTCGTTCTTGAGAACTTATTAGAAGACGCCAATCGGATGAAGCGCAAGTATGAGGATGATTACTTGAAGCAATATAGAGAAACACTGGTTCTAACAAATCAGCTCGAAGAGATCCGCAGCGGTAAATCGGTCAATGGTGATGGAGCAGAGGCATCGATCGCGCTGCGACAGAGGCTCAATGAGACAACAGAGGAGCTCGAGAAGCTGAAAGCTGAACACATAGAGCTGACGGTGTCATATGAGCAAGTCAATCAAGAGCTCATTCTAGCCAAGTCAGACCTCAATTTAGTTGGAAAGGACCAACTGGAAATGCTCAGCTCATTGAGAGATTCAGTTTCGACGGAGAAGATCGCCTTGCAGGATGAGCTCGATCGACTGAAGAAAGAACAAGGAAGTCTCAGGGACCAACTGTCGATGAAAACCGAACAGATCCAGTCCCTCCTACTTGAGAAAATCAACCTTCAATCGGACTCGATCGACCAACGCGAACGGATGCTGCTCCGAGAGCGACAGCTCAGTGGCGGACAGGTGAAAAGTCCGAAGACGGAAGAGCTCTCGGAGGAGGCTAGAACAAAGCTGGGAGTAACCGAACAGCTTTATAAAGAGAAGGATGACGAATGTCGGATGCTGAAAGCTAAATTAGACAAGGCCAAGTTATTCATTATGAGTCAGGATAAACTGTACAAAGAATCCGTCGATGGTCGTGGATCTAATCTTCTTCCAGTTGATGTCTCTTCTCTGGTGAGGCGTTTTCTCCTGGTCCATAACATCAAAACTTGCTTGATTTTCTAGACTTGTTCGAATACTGATGTTATCCTCTCATTTTCTTTGTTTATACCCACAGAATAACAATTTCGATGAAACCGTGCAAACTTATCAAGCTGAATTGAGTTCCTCCAAGGATTTGATTGATAGACTCAGGGTAAATAATAACATTCTCTACATAGATTGTTATCAGATCGGTCAAAAGTTGATCGTCCTTTGTGTTGACCAAACAACAGAATCAGTATCATGAGATGGAAACACGATACGAAAAAGAGTTGCGCTTGATGGCCTCTGCGTGGCACAACTTAGGCCAGCAGAAGATCCGCGAGACGATAGCGTTGAACCGGAACGAGCACACCAATTCAGGTGGGCTAGGCCGACAGGCGTCCTCCGGGGTGGGCTACCGAGTCGGGGCAGGAAACCAGCATCTGGGTAAGAACGGTGCGACCTCGGGGCCTGGTGGTTCGGCGAACCATTCTAGTAACTTGGGCTTCGGCGGTCAGCTTAGACCTCAAAGTTGGGTCAAACAACAGCGTGACAGGATGATCAATCAATATGCTCTTGTGAGTTTACGAAGCCATTATTTCACCATTTGAGGCTTTTCTTTCCACATGCATTCTTTTCCATATCTCCGTACATCTCTTTTCTTCAATTAATTATCTTGTGCAAAAAAAAAAAAATGTTGGTCTCGTTTTTTTCAATTTGTTCTTGTTGCTTTTGAGTTATGTAGCTCTCTATGACTGCCTCATGCCCATTTCGGGATCGTCAACTGGGGCCTCCTTCGTTCAACCCCTAATCTTCGAAATCCTCTATTTCCCCCTATTTATAATCGGTTATCATTAGCAACTTGTAGCCAAGAACAGAAAAGATCGCTCTTTCTTTCACCTCCTCTTCTTTCCTTGCATTCTTTCTTGTTTTGGTTTTTTTGGACTAGTCGTTATTTTAATCTTGAAACTGAAATTAACCGATCATTAACTCTCTTTTTTGTTCCTTCTTTTTTTGCTGATACTATTGGTCTTCTTTGGTCGTCGATCGCGGGTTGGGTTTTTGCAATCCTCTGGTATGATCTTTGAATCCACATCAAAAACAAAACCTAAACCAAAAAAAATCAGTTACATCATTAAGTCCTGATTAAAAAATGAAGAACTTTAGAGAAAAACAACCAATACTCCTCTTTTTCTTTGCTCCTGGTCCTGTGGTTATTGTCATCTTTTTTGTTCTCACCTAATTTTCTTCAGTTTTTTTTTATTTTGGCATTTTCAAATGGTAATTGTTGTATACTCCTTCCGCAATGTCCACATTTTTATTTCCTTGTGTGTTTACATAAATACCTCAATCAAAAGAGATACAATCAACTCATCCTTACACACACATAAATATATAACTTATCAGTGTTACATATTTTCTTCATGTTACTTATGACTTGACCTCTTTTTTCTTTCTTTTTTTCCTTTTCTTTTTGATGTATTTCCATGTGTGAGATGTGATGGCCTGTTAATCTACATAGGCAAAAATTTGATCAATTCAATGCTTTATGTGCTGGGAAAATGGCACTTGCTTTGGTGAATGAATGGTAAAGAAATTGGGGGTTGACTTGTCACATCCTATGATCAATTGGTCATTGGATTGGCTGTCAAACCTAGCAACACATTCCTATGCTAGAAAATTCAAGTGATTATCACAAATATCATGAAGGCTTCAGTCCTGAATACATGAAGCAAAATACCTGTAGGAATTTTTACAAACTCATCTAACCCATGATGTGGAGAAGAATACTCATGAAGAGTAAAAGTAAGAATCAGGTGAATCAGAAGAAATGGTCATCACATCAGGGAGATCAAGAACATTTTGGCATAAGAGTGATATTTTCCCACCATCTGATCTAACAGCCATTTACAGATTTGAGTAATAATCTGTGGACTTTTGGGAGGGAAACCTTCTGATGAGATAGTGATAATAACCAATGTCACATGCAATACTTGATAAACCAGATATGTTGACATAAATTGGAATGAAAAGATGCAGCACAGCTTTAAATAAATCACTTGATCATGTTACTTAAAAAGTTGATTACATTGACTTTCATATACTTCCAAATTATCCCCCTTGTAACCAATAAGTAAAAAAAAAATGGCACATACATAAGAACATGAGGAAATTTGGAGGGAAAAGTGACGTTTCGAAATTGATTCTTGACAAAATTAAAAGATTTTGACATGACAAAAAAGCTCTTGAAAAGAATCTGAAGAGTTTGCCAACCCAGAGAGAAATCAACAAATTGAGTCATGCATGAATCTTATATGAATATCCAGATGGATGTTCATTGTGACCTAGGCAGAGAAACCTTGTCCTCCATAATGAGAAGAGGGATGTCTGGTTTGAGGAGTTGCTTGAGAGACTGCCTTCTGAATTTCTTGAACTGCTTGATCAATCATTTTCACTTGACTCTTGAAATCATCCCGCTGTTCTTCGGTGCAATGTAACTGCAAAAGGTTTGAGAAGCCGTGGACAAAATAATGGGCAAGTCGAGGGCCAAAGTTACTGTGTCTCTCGGATGCCTCCCAGCTGGGTAGTGGAGGACCAAATAATGCGAGCAACCCATGCGGGCTCAGGTAGCTCTGCGAAATATGATCAATCATCTCAAGCGTATACGTAGAGAATCTTAAATTTTCAAATAAGCCGTCCAATGTTTGCTTGACTTCATCGTTGTATACCAGCAAGTAATTCGCTCTCAGTTTGAAAATCTTTTCTATTGTTGAGGTCATGGCCATCGCACTTTCTTCACGTGGCACATGCTTCAAGAAGTGGAATAATCGAAGCGAGAGATGGCCTATAAGTTTGAGCTCACTTTAGCTTTATTTTGGGGGGGGATTGGAAGGATGTATGAGATTGAATGAAAGATTATTTTCAAACCTTTGCTTTTCTTTTTAATTATTTCTTCCAAGATCATATCGAGCTGTACCTTAATTGAACTTCCAAGCTCATCATTGCGGGTTTCCTGGAAACTTAGATGATCAAGAGCAGGTGAGCTGTAAGACCGTGTCAGAGACAAACAAGCTCTGGAGATTCTCTGGAGATTCCCTGGAGATGATGGATGACTAGATGACCTGTTGAGTCTTTCTTGGTGACTTATAACAGATCCTGCTTTGTTTTCGTGGCTTTCTGGGGATGATTCACTGCAAGCGCCGACTAGTTCTTTTCTTCCGGAAGATTGCGAATGGTATTTTCTTTCCAGGAATTCTTCAAGTGCAGTCTTAGTTTTTACTCCAGATTCTGCGTGTTCTTGGCTTCTCGGAGATCCAGTTTCAGATACCAGGCTACGACACGGCACATCGTCTGCGGACCCATCTTGACTAACTATGCTTCCAGATGACTTTTTTCACAAAAAGAGAAAGCCAGGATTATGTTGAGTTTGGAAGTCTGACAACTCCATTAATGGTATTGTGTATGGAACTGTCTTACACTGGGAGTCCGACTCCGGGGATCTATAATGATTTGATCCTCTAGTAGAGGAACGTCTTCATAAATGGTGGGTAAGTGGGCTGTCCGTCGGGGAACACGTGTTGCTTGGGTGAATAACAATGGAGAGAAAAGTAACAAGCTGTAAGGAGTCATACGCATTTTGCAAAGAAGGTAAAGCGGAGTTGGACACTTCAAAGTCTAAAACTCGATTGACAACTCCCAAACGCAGATTGTCATGTCCCTTTAATTATTTTTTCCGAGCGTCTGCGAGCGTCTGCGCCTGTCTGGGTTGCTTTGCCGATGTGGGCAACTGGAGTGCTGGTTGGTTTCAAGACAAGTTCTTTGAGAGGCGCGACACTTACGCACTAGCACGTGTACATATTTATTTGCTTCATCCATGCCTTGTCTGTTCATATGCACGTGTGACTCAAGCATACCATTTATCCAACTTTCTTGTAAGTCTTGTCTCCTCTGGGTGGCGAGGAGCTCCAGACCACGGTGTCGGATGCTCCCCAGAGGGCTTGCGGGGCATCTGGATGAGGCACTTTGTTAGCTGTATGTTAATAGTCTGACATCGAGTTTGATCACTTTGTAGGCCCCTGTTATCAGGATCAGAGTGGACTTGAGAGGTCATCGCGCACATAGCTTGATTGATGCCTGCGAGCACTGGGCCCAGTGGTTTCAAGTGTATATGATTTATGATTATGTATGTACTTTCCTTACTTGTGCGTGATCCGGCCGTCGAAAAACACAGGAAAGCGGATAAATATTTACCTAGGGGGTGGTATTAACTTATCTGTCTGGAAAGTTCAAATATTGAAACCAGCATGGCAATGTTGATCATGGGAGCTGGGTTATCAATTCTAGATTATGCTTTGTCGGGTGTTTCCTGAGATCAATTGAACCAAAGTGCAGATGTCCTAATCAGGCCACTCGAAATTCTCCAATCATCAATACTAGATTGGATGGTTCTGAGCTGGGGTAAATTGATAAAAGGAAATTACAAAAAAAAGACTTGCTGGATCCTTCACCTTGCCCAAGAAACAAAGACAGCCGATATATATTACAAATAATATTGTGACAAAGAGTAAAAGTGTGACAGCGAGAACGACCAGGACAGGGGGGGATCAAGAAGCCATATAATCCACAAAAAGTAACGCAAAACTAGAGCCTAGTAGAAAGACTAACAACCACATCCGACTCTCCTTATTAGATTCGCTTGCACTCAAGAGTTGTTGGTTGCCTTGTTTGATTTTCCCAGTGGAGATGATCGAATCGTCCCAAAGCTGATCGATCATTTCGTTCTGTTGAGTGAGATGGTAGACCAATTCGGTCTGCAAGTTCGAGATCTCGAGGAGAGAGGATTCGGTCTGTTTGATCGACTTCAAGGTGTTTTCGGTGGCCTTCAATACCTCGGTTGATTCTTTCTCAAATTGCTGGATCTGTGCACTCGTCAATGTGTTCTCTATGGCTGGCTCCTCCATCGATTCTGGATCGAGTAGCTGGTCAAACTTCGGCCGATAGATTGCCGGGACTCCGGCCTTCTCGTTTGACTGGGCTGAATGTGGACCCATGGAAGAACCTAGAAAAGAGCAGGGAAAGAACAAGTCAGAGAACTTGGTAATATTTAATGTGGGTTTTTTTTTTTTTCGACGTACCTGGCGCATTCATCAATCCAGCTAAACCGCTTTTCATCACCTTTTCCATTTTCTTCTTGGCGCGAGTCTCTTGTTGATCTTTAATCATTTTACCAAGATCAGTCAATCGTTGGTTCAAAAACCATAAGATTGAGGCTCGATGACCATCAAATTGTTCCTTGGCTATCGATTGTGAGCTTAGCGAGATCCCCAAAAATCGACTCAAAGCGTTAGACTGTTCATTATCCTGCTGAGCTTTCCGAGCTATTTGAAAAAAGAAAGAAAAGCCATCAGCATCAAAACAAAGAAGAAGAAAAAAATCTCTTGAAGGAAACGGTGGAGAGAATTTTAGTTACATTTTTCGGCAGCTTCGAGTGCTCTAACACCCTGAACGGATTTCTTCAGTCCGACAGCAACCAAGGTATCAATTTGGTCTTTCTCATTCTCGCTGAACCATCTGACGTTCGAAAACCCTTGGAAGCCCTTCGAGAGATTGACCGTTCGTTCGCTAGAATTAGCTGATGAGAACTGTCCACTTGTGCCCGATTGGCTCGGATCTAGATAGGCTCTTCTGATACTACTCAGAAAATCGATCAATTCTTGGATGTTGTTGGCCTGATTTGGGTCATTCAAAAAAGATACAAGTAAGATTCAGTGTCAGTTTATCGGAAGCTAACGCCTGTTATCAGGAAGGATTGTTAGTTAGTAGACTTACTCACAACCAGCTGAGCTTCCTTAGTCCAAGCATCCGAACTCGTCTTGGATGGTCGTTTGTGATTAGTGGTTGGTGGGCTGTTGGTTTTCCTCTTGGATTGGATGGCTGTCTTGAACTCGTCGGTCCTGCTGCTCGAGACCATCGTGTCTGACTGTCGAAGTGCTTGGTTTTTTGGGTAAAGGGAAAAACCCGATGAGTTTGTTCAGGCATGTCGACAGGGTCAGTCATGTCACTCCGACCCCCGGTGTGGACACTCCATTCTTCAACGGTGGGTAACTTGTGGCAGCTTGTGTTCCTCGGCTGTTCCTCCTGGCCAAAGAAGCATTGCTAGTTGAAATCAGGGAAAATAAGATGCTTCCTTTCATTGTAGTCAGACAAATATCTTGTATCCTGTTGACCAGGCCCTGCATGGCCATAAAAAATAAATAAAATGAACAATCCTGTGATAGGCTCTAGATTGGTTTCCTCCTACATACAGCCAAGTTCCAACCAAGCTATCTCTGATCAGTTGTTTGTTCCCTCAGCGGGACAATTCCATAGCACGTCATTGACCATTCCCTAGCAAAAAAGGATTCCAGAATACCCCAGTTTCTTTGCATAGAAACAATAGTGTGCTAATATTGGGTTTAATGAAATTCTCAGATAATACCCAAACAAGTATTTAGAAGTTGAAACTATGCTGATATGATTGTATGTGTAGAGTATAACTATTATTTGAACAGATCCTCAATTCACTTTACAACTTTTTTGTCACAGTTACCATTGGAAAGAAGAATAGGTCTGTGGATTAAGTCCTCACAAGCATTCAAAAAATTAATGTTTGTATTTCTTCTTCTTCTTGGGAGCCATTCCAGCTTGAACCACGTCATCATCACGATCTCTATGATCATCAGCACCTCCACCATCATCATCGTCCCCGTCTGCCCCGCCCCGTTTGCGACGGAATTTGCCCGACTTCTTCCCGCCGTTGCGCTCGTTGTCTCGGATCTCTCTCGTAGCTTCCCTGGACGCTTCGCCGACCCTTTCAGATAGCAAGAATACTTGCTCTTTGTCATGCGGGAACTCTTCCATCTTTTTGCCAATCACGCCTTCGATCCGTTGGAGTAATTCGACATCGTATTGGGTCACGAGAGTGACCGCCTTCCCAGATCTACCCGCTCGGGCAGTTCGTCCGACCCGATGGATGTAATCCTTCGAGTTCGTCGGCAGGTCAAAGTTGATCACACAGTCTACCGTTGGAATATCCAATCCACGTGAGGCCACATCCGTTGCAACTAGGATCGAACGGTTCCCGGATTTGAATTGGTTGAGTGAGCTCAATCGAGTAGATTGTGAGAGTTGCCCATGGAGGGGGATCGAGGGAAATCCCAATAGCCGCAGAATGATTGATAACCGATTGGCATCATAGACTGTTCTGGTGAAGATGATCATCGATTTGCCGCTGAGCTCATTGACGAGATAGACCAGGTATGCGTCCTTATTTTTGAATGGGAAGAACATGTAGAGCTGGACCAGTCCATCGACCGTATCGTATTTGGTTGACATCTGTACCTTCACTGGTGAGACTAGACTCGCACGTTGGAGCTTGGCTACCTTGGTGGTCATCGTCGCACTAAACAGATAGGTTCGTCGCTCTCGTGGAATCACTTTCAGAATCTTGTCGATCACTGGGCCGAAATCCATGTCAAGCAGCCGATCGGCTTCATCCATAATCTTCAAAGACACATCACCATGAGAAGATGAGTCAGGAATTGTGCGGATATGACGCTTTTCTGATCACTTGCAGGTCGACTCACCAAATACTTCAGATTTCTTAAGCTAAACCCTTTAGTATTTTCAAGATGGTCGTGTAATCGACCAGGGGTAGCCACGATAATGTGAGGCTGAGAGAGACAATGATGGATTTAGCATGTTTTAAACGTGGAAGGGGAAATTAGAGAAAAGAAAGTACTGACCCGTTTTGATAGAGCAATAGCTTGACTCATCATATCGATTCCACCTACGATGACGGCGGTCTTGACGCCGATGGTCGAGCCTAGGGCGTCGAATTGCTGGGATATCTGGTAAGCCAACTCTCTCGTGGGAGCTAGGACGCAACAGAAGAATGGCTTGGGGTCGTTCCATAGTGATTGTAAGACCGGCAGGGCGAAGGCGGCAGTTTTCCCTGAACCGGTTTGAGCTAGTCCGATGATATCCCGATCCTCTAGGGCATATGGTATCGACTCGGCTTGGATTGGCGTCGGTCTCTTGTAGTTCAACGTCCGACAGGCCTCGCATAATTCTGGTATCAGTCCTAATTCCTCAAACGTCTTGCTCACTTCTTCTGCTTGCTCTGCTTGATCTTCTTGATGATCTTTCTTATCTCGTATCGTCAGTGCTGATTGAGTGGGTTCGTTTTCGCTCTTTTCTTCTGGTTTGCTTGAGCCGTTCGAGGATGATGCCTCCGACATCGATTGAGTCATCTTGAGATGGTTGACTGGGTTTTGAGTGGCACTCTTTTTTTTGGGGAGAATGTTGTAAGCCATCCTGCCCATTTTGAATATGCATCTCCCAAATCCAATATCCGATGCTTCTCCCGCAGCACGGCGGGGCAATGAGCAAAAGTGCTGGCTTGTTTCTCATTTATCTAAGGCCCTATGAAAACATATATGTGAGATAAGCTCTTAAATATAAGAAGCTTCAGGTCCCGCTTTCTTGACCAGCAAGACTCTTGCACAAACCGGTTCTCGAGCTTGAACACCAGATTTATTGTGCCTATGATTTTTAAGATATTCACCAGTACGAAAATTTCACAGGCTGGCCTAGAGTAGGTAATCCGTATCAAAAAGTAAAAAACTTATGAATTCTTTTGATTGAATTAGAGTTCAAGAATGCAATTATTTCTAATTAGTTTTTTTTTTTTCATTGATTTTTCAAAATCAACAGAAAGTCCACAGTGTAGGATACCATGTTCTTTTCACTATGATGCACCCCCTAAAATATTTATGCTAGACTCTGTGGTTGATCACTGATAGACAGGGTACAATGAGAAGAATTCAGTTTCATGACATGAAGGCACATTGTGTGAAATGGTCATAAGACAAAATTCTCCAGCCTGTGATTTTAAGACAAAAAAAAAACACTCCTACTTGCAACATAGAGTCAATCAATGCATTTGTAGTGGAGTTTGCTATGGATTAACACTAAAATTCCCTCTTGCTATCAAATCAAGTGTGAAGTAAATTTTGGGGATTGGTTGAATGACTCCCTTTTACTAGTTGATGACTGCCAACAACCATCAACAGATGTCCATTGGTTCTCACATATATCATTGAAACCAAGGTTTGATGAGTGCGTGTGTAAATTGAATGTATGTGTTATAGGAAATACCATTTTTTGTGAAGTGGAAGTACTAATTAGATATGTGGGACATAGATTCTGATAAAAAAAGGACACTGGATGTACAAATAAGGATGCCCAGAACAAGTAGTTAATAAATGTACAGTGGGTGGACCGTTGTTTTTGGCTGCTTGTTTTGGATTCTACAGCTTCAAAGCACAAACTGCAAGTCACAAGACTTGGTGAAGTGGTGCAGAATAGGTCGCAGAAAATGATTGTGAAGAAATAAAAACAAAAAAAAAAGTTTCAAAATTTGTGAAAAATGAAAAAATAAAGATGTTTTTTTTCCAAAAGCTTTGTTATTCATTTTGGGGGAGTGAAAGTGCTGAGAGAAAGAACGAGTGGAACATGGCAAGAGTGATTATAAATGAAAAAATTGGAACCAAAAAAGGTTGAGCCAGGTTGGTTGTCCAGATTGGAGTCAAAACAGTAAATTCTAGTGCTTTACTGCAATGTGAGCTGGTGAATGCCCCACTAGCCAACTGGTTAAAACTATCTGATAACCACTTTTTCCAAAATTTTCATTTATAATCATTCTTCCCATTTCCCATTCTTTCTTTCTCTCTGCACTCACACTTCCCCAACATGAATATCAAAGCTTTTGAAAAAAATCAATTTTATTTTTTATTTTTCACAAATTTTGAAACTTTGTTTTTTGTTTTTTGTTTTTATTTTTTCATATTCATTTTTTGGGACCTATTCTGCACCACTTGACCAAGTCTCATGACTTCAATCTGGTGCTTTGAAGCTCTGGGGCTCAAAACAGGCAGCCAAAAATAACGGTCCACCCACTGTACATTCAGAATGTGTCACTCTTGTCCTCTTTGGCAATTTGGCTGATAGGTGAAATTGGCAAGAACACAGCTTTAGCTGCTGGCTGGAGCCTTGAGGCTGGTTCACCAGCAGAGGTTGACAAAAATTTTTGAATCACACTGTCTTCCGAATCCAATTCAGGGACATTTTTGGATTGGTTTGGTCTTCCAATCCTTGTGTGGGTCAATCTAAGGGAACAGTGTGTCACCTCTCCACCAGACAATCCCATGATTCTCAAGCTTGTCAACTGAGGTGCAGCTACAACTAATTATGGAACTCTGCTGAAAATCTTTCTTGTACCAGATTATATTGTGAAAGGGAACATCAATAGATTTACATACACTTGTCCATTGTCCCTCTTTGCACGGCGAAAGGGGTTGTATCAGTTACAACCCCCCGCGATAAGGTTGCCTGGAGGCGACCGATATAAGATCGGTCTGATTGACCGATTTTATATTGGTCGGGCCCACCGATACATTAGAACAAAGGAAAAATGTATCGGTGGGCCTGGCCGATATAAAATTGGTCAAAGAGACCGATATTATATCGGCCGCCTCGGGGCGACGTTATCGCGGGGGGTTGTAACCCATACAACCCCTTTTGCCGTGTTGGTCACCAGAAAGAGAAGGTGGATCAAAGAGACCAAGCCCAGTGATTTTTTTTTCAATACTTCTAGATGAAATCATGATTAAAGCTGTGACCAATTCCATCAGAATTTCCACTCATGAAAGGATGATACTGGTAGAAACTGCCACATAAATTTCAAAGCTCATTAAATCCTTTTCTACAATTGTAAAGCCTATAAATTTCAATATATACATACTTGTGTGCAGCTTTTGTTACCTGGATTTCACAAACTTATCAAAATTATTGTGTGCTGAAAAAGGAGAAGGGAAACACCCAATAGAACACAGTAACAAAAATGTTTGAATTTTTGGTGAAACAACCTAAATCATACAGACCAAAGTGGTATGAATTGGGCTAGGAGAGGTTTAGATGTATGGATTTTGGCCTAATATTGAGCAAAGACTGCCGAAATGCAAAGTCCCTGCAGCTTTTGGCGGATTTCTCACTTCCTGATGATTTCTTCCTGAGGGGTACACCTGAAATGTGTCTGAATGATCTCAAAATTGGCATTCCCTTGTGTCCCCCAATGTATGAATTGTTTCAAAATCCAGGTTTTTTTGGTTACTGTGGATGTGGTCTATGAGGGGTCTCCTGGGTCCTGCTGAGAACTAATCCAAGACCAAAGTGGTGCCATCAACCATTCATCCTTAAGCTTAATTAAAGCTAATGGAAACACACTGCAGGAATCAGAAACTTGTAAGAACACTGCAATTTTCAAAGTGCTTTCTACTAGAGATGGTCCGGGATAATCCGTTGCGGATATACGCCATCTGCTGGTGGATACCCGCCAGTGCCAGCGGATACCAGCCAGCGGGTGCGGATTCGTGTGCGGATGTCCTTTTCCCCCCAAAATCCTGGCGGATATCCGGGTATCCCTTGAAGAGAGTGAAAAGGGTTTTTTTTTACAAAAAAAAAGAAAAAGAAAACAAACTGCCCCCCCCTCGGCCTAAATAGGCCATGCCTCCGGGAGGAACCCCTCCCGGTGTGGTAACCCATACCTCTCCATATCATCTACTATTTTACTGTACATTTACTGGGAATTATTATAATATTACTGCTTATTCAGATTCTACACCCTTTTTTACCTATAGTCACTCACTCAAGCCATATCTCATTTCTTGCTGGTTCATTAGTTATTTGCATTTCTAGTTTTACAGATATTATTCTTTACATTTACTTTACACATTAACTACATACAGCACATATTTACAGTTTACTACATACATCATAATTTTCACAAGTACTATCTTCTTACATATAATTCTTCTCATTACATCAGCCACACTCCTTCACAAGTACTTCTTTTCACATTACATACTACATATATTTTCTCAGACACACTCCTTACAATTATGCTTTCTCATATGCCTTCAGGATAACAGTAGTACACTCTTTCACAGTCTTTATCTTTTGGGATTGTTTTTTTCTTTACTCATCCTCATTTTGATTGTTTACTTTTCACATCTCTTGTGCTACATTTGTACATTGTGCTCCCATAGCCAGACTGACTGTAACCTGTGCTCATTTGTACCTTGAAGTATATATACAGTCTTCTTATCATTTTTTTGTACACCCCTTATGCATTTTCTACCCTACAGATATTATTGTGCCCCTCAAATAAAATCTACTTTTACTTTCAGAACTCATTTTAGTGACCTTGCCTGCTTGGTGCTTTGCCCCTAGAAATACCATTACCCAAAGTGTCCCTAGAGCTCTGCTTTATTTACCACTCTCATATTCTCACTTCTCTCACTTCTTCCCCTGTGGGACTGATAAGGAACAAACTCATTAGTTATAGCAGTCTAAGAATCAGTTAGAGAATTAGCCACACCTCTTTCTTATTTTCTTAGTGTAACCCTCTCTCCTCAGCATTAGTCCCAGAGGGCAGCCTCATCAGCACTCATGGCTTCACTTACATTACTAGTAGTGTAGTTTGCTATTTCCCCTCTAAGCTCTGTTCTGGTTGTTCAGCAGTTCCACACCGGCGAGGTGGTACACAGACCAGCTCGTCGGAAGGGATTCCTTCCGACGAGCTGGTGCTCTCGTCGGGAGGAATCCCTCCTGACGAGCTGGTGTACATGCCAGCTCGCCGGGAGGGAGGGATTCCTCCCGACGAGCTGGTGTACATACCAGCCCGTCGGGAGGCGTTCCTCCCGGCGAGCCAGATTTAAAACCAGCTCGCCAGGAGGAGTCCATCCTGGCGAGCTGGTGCCCTCGTCGGGAGGAATCCCTCCCAACGAGCTGGTGTACATACCAGCAGCGGTGGGCCGCTACGCTACGCTTTTGGCCCAAAAAGCGTAGCGTAGCGGCGCTTTTTTTTCATCAAAAAACGGTAGTGTTAGCGTTTTTTCAGCGGTTTTTCGCTACGCTACACTGCACTACAGCGCTTTTAGCGGAAAAAGCGGCCAAAAACCGCTAAAAAGCGCTGTAGCGCAGCGTAGTGGGCCCTTTTTTGCGGCCCACTCGCGTAGCGTTAGCGGTGTCGTGGCGGAATCCCGCAACGCTACACTAAAGTTGCGTGGAATCCCGCTACATTACGCTGCGCTAACCGCTACGGTTAGCGTAGCTGGCCCAGCGTTGATACCAGCTCTCCCAACAACCTGGTTTGAAATCCAGCTCGACGGGAGGAACCCCTCCCAACGAGCTGGTATGTACACACTACACCAGCTTGCCGGGAGGGATTCCTCCCGGCGGCGTGGCCTTTCCTCTCTAGGCCGAGGGGGGCCAGTTATTTTTCCTTTCTTGTTTTTTGTAAAAAAAAAATCCCCCTGGCCGGCGTCAGCCAGTAAGAGGGCGGGTATCCGCAGATATCCGCGCGGATACCCGCCAGCGCCAGCGGATACCCGCAAGCGGATGCGGATGCGGATGCCTGATTCCGCTGAAATTGTCAGCGGATATCCGCATCCGCGCGGATATCCGGATCCAACGCGCCCATCTCTACTTTCTACACTGACAGCCCTGAATCAATTATACACACAAATTTCTATTTCAACATGAACTGGTAAATTGGATTTCCAACCTGTTTAATTATTGATCAGCCTAGATACATTCAGGATATGTTCCTGAAGGATCTGATAAAGCCAGATGATTTTCAGATTGTAAAGTCCAAATGTGATCCCGGTTTATAAGATCAAATTCAGGTAGCTGCATAAATATGTGGACCTAAAAGTATTGATTCAATTTCAGGTCCAAGAACAACACAAGGTTCATTTGAATCTGATACACATATACCAATGCAAGCTCATTCCTTCACAAGACTGCCATCTTCAATTGAATGAGGCTGACTTTGCAGTCTTTTATACAGCCAACATCACCTTCATGAACTGTTTTTGATTAGGAGAGCATCCAGAGATAGATCATTCAGGATTTCTTCTTTGTGTTTTTCTGCAGCCAAGAAAGCCTTCAATTTCAAACAATGAGAATCATGAGATGTGCTGGCTAACTAGACTGACATGAACTCCGTTGAACCTGGATGAAAGGGGAAACATCATCAAAGTGTTGGAATTCAATTCCGAAATTGATTGCTTTCAAAGCTTCATCCACAACCTGATAGATAAGAATAGAAGAAAGAAACAGAAAATGTTCATACAAACAAAATTGAGTATCCAAAAAGTACATATTTTCTTTCTTCCTGTCAGTGTCATGCACACTCTTAAGTCCTCTTGTCTATACAACTTTGAACCATTTCAAGCTCTCTTTCTTCTGTTGTGGTCCAATTGCACAGCGTTTTTTTTTGTTGTTGTTGAGAGACATGATCATGGGGATTTGTTTTGAAATTTGTCCTTTTTTTACGAAAAACAGAATTTATCCATCAGAAACGAGACAACAATTTTTTAAACTAGCTGGGCAAAGGAAGACTTGTAAACAGTGTAAGAAGGGAGATAAGAACCAGAGGTAAGGAAAAGAAGGTCAAGTTGCGAGGACCTCATTAACTGTTTCAGATTCCGCCGCTGCATCAGCCTGACCAGCTTCCACAACCTTCATTAATTCGTCTACTTCAGGATTAGTAGATCCCGGCAGCCCAGTAGATTGTCTAAATCGATTTGAGGCTCGAACAGTTGCAATTGCTTTCCGGAAAGTCTAGACAATCAATTGATAATCGAGATGTAAGTAAACCTTGAAGAGTCTCTTCATGTAGAAAAATGCTCTGAAAGAATGAGTGATCCATGCACACCTTTTTGGCATCGAATTGTCGCTTGAGATGAGGAAGTAGATTCTGGGTTTCGCCCTTCTCACTGCTCGGATCAATCACACCCGGTTCAACATCGGACACAAACCAGGGGTGCTCTAAGGCAGTGCGGGAAGTTAACCGTTCTTCAGCAGAAACCGTTAAACATTTCGAAATGAAATCTCTTGCTGGATTTTTGTTGAATTACACATCACATTGATAGATAGTACGAACGAACGAGTTCAGTTATGCGACGGTGAGATCATTCAGGAGTCCCAAAGATGAGAGTGCTAGGGTAACAAATATTACACACCAACGTTAGAAACATTCTTCCAGTATTCGGCAGGTTCAAATTTGTAGGCTGCATCACAGATCGCTCGAATTTCTGCAATGCTATCGTCCTTATCGAACGGAGTATAACCACAAAGCAAAAAGTATGTGATTACACCGATAGCCCATATGTCAACTGGCTTGCCGTGTCCGCTCTTCTTGAATATTTCTGGAGCCATGTATCCTAAACGAACCCCAAACAAAAGTCAGAACGGTAGGTTATGATCCCGGAGTTCAAAGGGGGCATCTACCTGGGGTACCACATGTGGTGGTCAGTGCATTGAATTTCGAATCATCGATCACTCGAGATAAGCCGAAATCAGCTATCAACAAATCTGAGTCATCCTCGGGACCGCGGAACAGTAAATTCTCGGGCTTGAGGTCTGTCATTCAATTGATTTGTCGAACCATGTCAGTAAGGATGCTCTCTTGATGATGTCAAGAACGGGGGCGGTAAGAAGTGGATTTTGCCAGAGCTGAGCTGCAGGTGATAGGAGCATCCTGAAGCCGGTCTAACGGCCACTCACCCCGGTGAACGATACCATGAGAATGAAGATAATCAACTGCATTTAGTACGACTTTGACCAGATGACGTGCATCACGTTCGTAGTATTGACCCTTAGCACAAATTCGGTCAAATAGCTCGCCACCTTGACATAGATCAGTGACAAGATATAGGTTATTGAGAGTTTCGAAGTACTGCAAATGATGAGGTGGATTGGTCAGTAGAAAATCAATTCATGTTACATAAACGAGCGAGTTCAGAGGCAGGAGACCTGAACTGACGTCATGAAGAGTAACAATGTTCGGGTGGCCAGCAGAGATCTTTTTGAGTACATTGATTTCGTTCCGGACCTAGGATAAGTGAAACAACAGATTAGATTTTTTTCATCCATTTACACTTGAGTACTAGGAAAAAAATCCAGTTTGGTAAACCGACCATGTGTTCTCTTCCCTCCATCAATCTCTTGTTGATGACCTTGCAGGCATAATATTTGCCTGTGGAGATGTGAACAGCTTCTTTGACGACCGCATATGTGCCTGGAAGGGTGTTCAGGGTAAGTCAGCTCAAAGAAGACTCTGTCGGGAGACTGTTCGATTTAGTTCATATATCCTGGTACCTGGGGATGGAAGACTGACCTTGACCAAGCGTTCGGCCTGTTCAGGAAATATGGATGGAGACCAAATCCGAAGACGGAATCAAAGGAACAAAACAGCCGATCAGTTTTAAAAGTAATTGAAAGATCGCCATCGATTCAAGATAGAGCAGGATGAGGATACCTGTTTTGTATTGACATGGGACCGTTTGTGGTGCTGGCATGGTGAGTATGTAGGTTGAGAGGAGAGGAAGATGGATGATAGTATTTAAGTGGTTGTAAATGGTCAACAGGCTACAGCTGATTGGGGTTGTTCGTCGATGGCGGGAAGTTGGTGGAATTAAATAGAGCACTCTCCACCCGGGAACACCACTCCCTACAGTAAAACTATCTATCTAGCACAGCAGATCACAGCAACTCAAACCGATGGCATGCGCTCCTCTCATGATGGCATCGACAATCCAAGTGAATTCAGTTTCAAGCTCCACGTCTCAGGGCGAACATCATCGATCCCTAGAAGAAGTAGCAGATACACAGATGCAAGCTCAACATTGAACTCAAGCCTACAAGTCCAACTTGATTGGATTTGAGGCAAAGGCAACTGATGGTTGTTTGGCATCAACCACTACACCTTGATAGACCCGATTCCAAAAAATGATAACCCCCCAGAGCACAGGTTATCAGTCTCTTCATGTGCTTTCCTTTGGTCTACAGGCCCCCTTACAAACCCTCACTGTGAATTTATTTTTTGGCCTGTTTCAAATGACTCTCAAGCAAGCTCTTAACCAATCATATCCAGCACAAATTTTGATATTTGTGTTGAATTCAACCAAAAAAAAAAGGACAAAAAACTTCAAAGGTAAAGATCCTATCCAAGATATTCATATTCATAATCCCATAAATCAGAGAAATAGTTTTCTTCTGCCCTACTTTCTTGGTTAGAAGGGGGATTGTGCAGATCAAGTTTGGGGAAAACATTTTATGTATTTGTTTGAATTCTTATATTTGGATTGTTACTGGTTTTCCCTTCACTATTTTCTTGTTGTGCTGGAGAAGATCAATGCCTTGAAAAACTGTCAAGTATGATATTTTTTCTTGTTGAATTTGAGATGTGATTACATAGATGAACCAAAAGGTCACCACCATCTCAACTGTTATTGATCAAGTGTTTTCGTTTCTCTTTCTCATAAACCAGAAGGTGGGTTTGAGAAATGCCTTGATCACACAAAGAGATTGAATTTGTACATAGGAGAGGAGGTTAAAACTCAAAACATTTCCAAAGTTCAACTTCTTTTCTTGGAACAGCGCATCGCATTGCTCAATTCCTTGAAGGTTTTGCAGAGCCTTCTTTCCTAAGCTCAGCTGAGAACAACTTGAAATTTTCGACAGACATTGGTAAAGGTACAGCCACCAGTTCAGCCGATAATCTTGGTTTGCAGTGCCGGGAGCTGCCGGGAGCGGTGCAAGTTACCGCCATCTACATAAATAGTTGAGAGGTTAAAGGTTTGCCTGTCAAGACACGGCCTAGCCTGCTAATCATTCGGCTTTAGCATACATGACCCGATGGTCCCACCTTTCCATATGCCTCCCAGAGGAGAACCGATTCCACGAGCATATCTACCATCTTGTAACTCGTAACAATGTAACAAGAACTGATGCGGTTCAACATACTGTAGTTGCCAACGTCCAGTGCGAAAGGTAGGATAACTCAGACTGGACCGACAAGCTAAGCTGATTTGGCGTGAGCTTCGCGTAAAGTTACCGGACCATCCTGACTTCTTCGTAGCACGCATCGCACCTGCCACGGTACAATCGTTGTGTTCGATGCCAAGCAGTTTTATGATTTTGGTTACTGACTTGAGAGTCATAGAATTGAGGCATTGCTAAGCGGGATCGTTTGTCTTCAGTAATTGAGTGGAAAAGGATATAAATTAAGCCATGGAGACTGTCTTGTCTTGCTTTCTTTCCCCAGCAAGCTTCCTCAAATCCCCTCTTTCATTCTATCAATAGCGACGGGTCGCAATATTCATCCTAATAACCTTAATATATCCATCCTTATATTCTATATTGTAAATAAGAGAACGGCGACAGGTCGCAAGCTCCTTGGCACAATCCTCTTACCCAATCTTCAAAGCTTCACCATCAGAGACAGGTCTTCTCTTCAAGATACCCAGTAGGAAAGCGTTAAGCATGCTAGCAACAGCTTCTTATATCGGCTTCGGCGTCGTAGCCCTAAGCCTGGGGTCTTCCGACTTATCTTTCAACTCGTTACTACTATCCCCCCCTCAAAACAGCTTTGGCCCCCCGACTGGATTCAATATCACCTTGCCAAATGCTTGCCCGGGAGCAACAAAAAGCCAATTGGACCAATCCTCCATCTCAAACTCCCTCGCTTACAAGTATGACAAGGTGGCCTCAGCGGGCACAGGCGTTCCTTTTGCGCATGGGTTTTTCCAGCACTCGTGTCACCCAGATCTGAGCGAGGAGGGTGAGGAGGAGGTTGAGGAGGAACCATTCTGCATCTTCCTCAACCCTACAATCAACCAAGGATCGGGCATGGTTATAGTCTCGAAAGCGTCGACGCTCCTTGATAGCCTTGAGACCCAGCTGATTCTTTCAAGCCATCCGGAGAAAAACGATGCATTCAATGTGGTGGAGATGCCCCACAAAGGTGGCATGGGCGCTCTCGCATCCAGGCGTCTCGAATCCGGCGAGTTGGTGATCAACAGTCGAGCGACCCTGCTGGTTTCCGTTGAAGAGGCCACTTACGACCGCTCTGATTGGAGGAACATCCGCAAGCTCGCCGTCGACCTTCTCCCGCTCGAAACTCGGGGAAGATTCGCTCGTCTTTTTGGTGCCGGCGATTCTGAGGAAGAATGGATTTCAAGCGCTATTGACATGAATGCCTTCGAAATCAACCTAGGGAACGACAGCGACGTCCCCTTCTTCGCCGTGTTTCTTACCCCTTCGTAAGTCATCAAGCATCACATCGTTTTTCCTTCTTCATGGGTACCAAGACCGATAACTAACAAATTGATGGATTTGGATTTGTCTCTGTAACGTGCAGTCGATTGAATCATGACTGCCGACCCAACACCGCCTTCCATGTAAACAGTGAAAGTTTAGAAATCCACATGCATGCCCTTCGCACTATCAATCCTGGAGAAGAAATGACGATATCTTGTGAGTAGACCCTCCCTGTTCAAGTCACATCAAGGCACTTAGGACATGCCACTCACCAGTTTTTTTCCCTTTTCCTAGACCGTGATATGGCTCAAATCCGTGAGCAACGTCAGGAGGATATCTCCAATTACGGATTCCAGTGGTAAGTTATAGTTGATGAATGTGGCATTCCCTTCTCAGGCTCCTCGCGATTTCAGTCGCTCATTTTGTTTATGTACCTCATTTATCTCTCTCAGTACTTGCGCACATTGTCGGATGAATGAAGCTCAAGCAAATGAATCCGATCGTCGACTCATTCGGATCGAAGAACTGAGCAGCAAGCTTGTGGACTGGAGCGAACCTGCAAACGAAGTGATGTTAGATGAAGCGGACGAGCTCTTAGAATTATACCTCATCGTAAGTGACTGGTTTGCTGAGTTTTACCTTGGAGTTTCTAATCTGACCACGCGAAAATTGTTTGGTCGCAACAACAGGAAAGGCTAGATAACAATATTGCCGACGGTTACACTGTCGCCTCTGTTACATACAATTCCTTTGGACACACCGGTCGGGCGCGTCGATATGCGACCAAGGCCTTGGCTTCGGGGCTCACCAACTTCGGAGCTAACTGGGAGGAATCGGAGCCGCTCCGACAACTTGCGGAGACTCCCGAGCAGCACTGGTCCTACAAGGCCAGAGTTTCTCTGTGAAAGATGACCCGTCTTTCAACTAAAATTCTTACTATCAGGGTACCGTGACCATGTCAATATGTAAAGCGCGAGCGGCAGATACCCAAAGCACTCTTTGCATTTGTGTTAATCACACCAGCCTGAATGTTATCGTGTTAATGTACATCCCCCTTTTTTTCAAAGTGCAATGTCGCCATTAGCATTGTGCACTATGAATGTGCAATATGAAGTAGAAAACAACTTGTTGAAGTCGCTATCCACCTTTGTGGTTAAGAAATGTGTAAGGGAGTACGCGGTACATGTGAAATCTGAAGAAGGGAGTTATAAGCAGAAAGAGAGGGAAAGAAGAGAAAAGGTATGTAAAAGGAAGAAAAAAAGAAAGAAAAAGAAAAAGAAAGATGAAACAGAGAGCAAAAGGAAATCAACTTATGGCGCATGGGGAGTGTGGAGGTAAGTAATTCTAGATTTAGGAAAAGCGTTCTGAATCTTTGATGAATTCGATTAGAAAAGGGTGAGCCTTTGGTGTATAAAGTAATAGGTGGGCTCTGTTTGGGTCACATCTAATTTTCTTGGCTTTTGCTTTTCTGATGAGTGCTCTCCGGAGCCTCGATTGGTGTGGGCAAAAGTCGAAGAGGTGAAGTGACGTTTCCCTTCCAGTGCAAAAGGGGCAAACGGGGTGGATCCGAAACTTGGCTATGGAGCGGAACATCCAACTTTGACCCTCCGAAGGAGCCACACAGGCGGGCAGAGACTTCATACATAAATACCTAAGCTACAACAGAGTGGCAATGCATGTCGTGGCATCGCTATTCAGCTGTATGCTGGCTGAATCCACCGTGATCGCGTTGCGTGCGGCGCCAAGCAATACATACCGGACCCGATGAATCGAGAGGCTTTCGCGTTCAGTGGGGACATACTATTGCAGCGGCTGGATACGGTAAACATAGCGTGTAGTGAAGACCGTCACAAGCAAAGATAAAAACCGCGAAGCAATCATCCCCACATCCCCACGATTCCACGTTCTCATTCTCCACAGTCCGAGATACATATAATTATTAGGCTATCAGCTTAGTCTCTTAGATAAATTCCTCAGAACCATGTTCCTCATGAATCTCTTCCAGGCGAAATACATCGGTTTGGCTCTGTTGCCTATGATCAGTATTCTCCATTCCGGTCAGGTTGTACTTGCAGATGGTCGAGAGGTCAATTGCAAGGCGCATTTCGACAGTGATCCCAGCAAACCGGATGTTGGTAAGAATCAAATAACTCACTTTTAACTTACATTAATCATATCGTTGAAGTATCAAACTAACTCTACTTCAACATCTTCCTTGAACCATCTCAGGCTGCTGGCCGGACAATCAGACGAAGTTTACATGCCCACAAACTTCCTGCAGGTCAACTAGGTTTCCAGACCAGCATTGTGAGTTGGACCTTGATTCCGTTCATCGATGATCATCCAGACATGATGTGAAGAATGATTATTAACCCTCCTTTCTCTTTCTGACACATGCCCTCGCGCTAAATGGATATCAGTTGGTCAAATGGTGTTTTTACATTGCCTGAATGAAGATGTACCGGTGTTCGACGTGACAGTGCATCCACGGACGTATTACCATTACCCCAAGGGTGACCGAAAGTGGTATTTTGGTCGCAACGGATTTGTTGGTGAGGGTTTCCTGAAACTCTTTGAAGGTGGATTTCAAGTACCTGCTAAAACCAACTTTCTTCGGGTTCTAGCTGCTTTCGACACGAAAACTAAACTTTGGTATAACTGCCTATATGACGGCAGAAAGGATAACCAGGATACCTATAGTCAGTCTCTTTGCACTGACCATCTCACAGCAACATGCGAACTGACCAAGTCTTCTTTCCTCAAAACGAAAAACAAAGCCTGTTCGGATTGCAAGGAGGCATCATGATTTCCCAGCAGAGCAATCCGTCAAGCTGACACCTCAAAGCTGGAAAAATTTGGTTTTCATCCTTGTCGTCCTTCTTTCTACAAGCGCTATCAAAAAACACTTGTTGGATTCGTCTCTCTGTATAACTCATCCTTCATTTCACTGTTGTTTTTCACTCGTGCATGCAAGGGAATTGTATTTGAATGTGGCACGAGTCGAGGTGCAATGGGGAGAATATAAATGAGTGTTGTTGAGGAAACAGATCAATCAATTACTTTTGCTTATATATAATACAGCTTAGAGCGAGGGCCGTCATCATGAATTTTCCTTGGTATGCATAATAAATAAAGTGAATCATTGAAATCTGTCCATAAAATATAATTTCATCTTTTTTTTGGCTTTGTTGTTGGCTTTGAGATTTTCTCTTCGGCGTCCCTCCAAGGTCTCGTCTTCTACCCTGAAAAAAATGAAGAGAGGGGAGATTTGTTACCTCCTTTTTAAGAAGGGAAATCCGGGAGGTAACATAACCCAGAATATCAAAGATATTGGGTTAGCAACAGATTCCCATCTCAAATGGGTGGCCTATGGGTCCGCATGAGGTGCTCGAAAGCAAGGCTTCAGTTTTTCATTGAGGAAAGAAAAAAGGAATTTGAACCCGAAGGACTCGAGGTGATCAGTGATCAGAAAAGTGCAGAGAAGATGGCTAAGAAATCAGGACTAACAATCTCTTGAGCTGTGCCAAAGGTTTCAAGAGACGATCTTTCAATCGGATCAACCATTTAACGAAACCTTTCCGCTTGGGGGGCTTTCTGGTTTCTGCCTCTGGCGAAGAGAGTAAATCGAAGTCATCGTCATAGTCAAAGCCTAAAAAACATTCAGATTTATCCAATTTCGGAAATAGAAAATGCTTGTCAACCTTTGAATTTCGTGTCGGCCCGATTCAGGAACAGAGGACATACCATGATCTGGGCGGTTATGGACATCTATCGGGTCCAGTTTTTTAGGGTTGAGGCGTTCGCTTGAAGACTTGCTATCCAAAAGCTCGTGAGCACGATGGGTGTCTAACGATAGGATGCAGTTCAGCTCATTCACTTTGGTCCCAAGACAGATCCTTGTCTGTACGGCGCACCTTTTTTGAGCTCTTCCGCGATTCGGGGGACCTCCTCGATCGGATGCGATTGGTGGTCTTTGGGTACTGGCGTGGAGGACTGTTTGGGAATTTCAACCAACCCGGTCTTGTCTCTGGCATCTAAACTCGAATAAGTCAGTCAGAATACTCCTTTCGACAGAGGTTACGCAAAGAAAAAAAGAAACTTACCATGTCCAAGCTCGCTCGGCGGCTCTCCTGGCGAAGGCGATGGAAGACGATTCCCAAGATTTCCAAGATTTTTGGGGATTTGGGGAGGACGGACTTCAACGGGTTTGGTGAGAGTCGCCTGGTGATTAGCTCTTTCGAGTCCATGTTGTATCTCGCTCAATGGATTTACAAGTTCAGCTGATGGTCCCGGGATTGCCACGGACGGATGCGACATTGGGACCGGCTTCGGCTGCGCCAAGTCAGCCTTAGCGTAGCCTTATGGAATCGGATAGAGCAATTCATTAAAAAAATTCCTTTGCCAAGTTTGTGCAGATGACTTACCATTGGGCAGCCGAATTGAGGTGCTTTGTGACGGCGGCGATTGTATGCGACTATTAAGGTTCAGCTTTTCATTCACGGCATAAATTCTGGATGATGGGGCCTCAATGGGCTTGGGAGCTCCTTGTGTGTTTTTGATAAGTTTCTCGTCAAGTCTGGATGTTTCATAGGTACCCGACGTCGGTTGGGTGACAAGATGAGACTGTGGAGTATCCGGGCCAGTTAATTGCAACTGATTTCTTGCCGGACTATCAACGGCTGGTCGTCTCCCAGTGTAATGACGGGCGACGTTCAGGCGCGCAAGGCTACCATCGCCTTCGCCCATCACCAGCGTTCTTAGCGGTCGTTTGCTGCCGGGTGTCACCATGCCACTGGCACTGGGAAATCCGTCCATGATGTGTCGGATCTGAGAGACGATCAGCGCGAGTGGCTTCTGAGTAGATCTTGACCAGGCTTGGCATGTGCTTCTGAGAGTCAACTGTTTACTCGGATTAACAGCCTGTGACTTTATGGATCCTAAGAAATTGTAAGAAATTGGATACATCGAGTGAGCTTGAGTTCTGTCAGCGTAGTTCAGAAACACTTTTTTGTGGAAAGCTCACCTGAGTACAGCTTAAAGCTTGGGCGAAGCAAGCCTTTGAAGAATTTGTTATAGTCATTGACGATAGTGTTTATCATAGTCAAGAGAGCCTTTCCCCCGATCACTTGAAAGACGGAGTCTTTGTGGTCTGCTGTTTGTCCCATCACATTGGCGGCTGTTAGATGCTGGGTCTTGAGCATGATTGCACTCTGACAATCATAATTAATTCACCGAATCAGGAAACTGCTTCTTTGAGAGAAACATGTATTCAAGTAGGGTTTGTACCAGAGAAAAGCTCACATTACTATGATCAGCAGAGGAAATCGTGATCAAAGGGCTTCTATCTAGACGCGCCTCTTTTGAATTAGCCGGAAACTTAAGCGAGAGAGTCGAATGTACCGGGTGGGTCTTAGTGCCCTTTACAGGCTCTCTTGACGACTTGAATAGCGCACTGTACACATGTAAGAGACTTGCGTAGGTCTCAGGATCCAAGAGAATCTGAATCGAGTTCGGTTGACCATCGACGCGGGTGTTTCTTTGAGGTAGGTGGATCTTTTGCATTGGTTTTTCAGTCAAGACCTCTGGCCTCATGAGCGCTGAGAGGTGAGGGGTCTGCAACTTGTGAGGTTGATCTGGAAGAGCGATGATAGGCTTGGCAAGGCTCGACTGCTCTCCCGCTGAATCTCCACTAAATGATACCTCCTCATGCAAAGTACCCCGAGCCGGACTTGGCAAGGGCCGAGGTACAGGGCCAAGCTTGTCTCCGGGCATAGTCAACCCTTCCACATGCAGCCTACCGGCTTGCTGCTCTAAAGCTTTCAAACGGGGCGCCGGCTTGATGAAAGATCGGAGTTGAGAAACAATTTGTCCCACGGTTTTTTGACTGGTAGCCGACCACGCCTTTATGTTGTTCATGATCGTAAGCTTTCTTGTCTTTTCAAATGGATGGATTTTTGGTAATTCTAAAGCCCGTAAAAATTTAGGAAATCATGACGAGAGTAAGCTTTATAAGGTTTTGTGTAGACACCATTACAGGAAGAAATAAAGACAAGAGGGAGACTGCGTCTAGCAAATCTTACCCGAGTAAACCCTTGCACTTCGATCAAGTAAGCTTTTGATGAACTGACTATGGACCCCTGCGGCGCTGCTGAAAGTTGCAAAGAGGGTTTTGATGCCATTCACCTGGAAGATAGATCTGCCCTCTGACGGTGCAACTGCTTCTTCCCCGTCATGTAAGTTTTTCGGCACGGTCTCCCCCTGGTAGGAAAAACAAGCGAGAGCGGATCAGTCATTCATTCTTGGAGCCGGCTTTGAAAAGAGAAAGCCACCTTACGTGGTGGAGCGCAGGGGAGGAGAGTGGGAGCGGAGGTTTCTTCCACATTGAGAAAACCATCTCATTCACTGGGTGCAAATTGTCCATCGAGCCCATTTTTATGGCCGGAGGAAGATTCAATTTGAGGACTGGATCTTCCTGGAAGGCCTTGATACTCCTCTGAGAACCATCCTGGAATTTTAACAAGGCATTATAGAAATGCGTGATTTCTTTGTGCAGTTCAGGATCTAAGAAGATGTGTATAGAAGTCTGAACCCCTTTTTGGGAGAGACTCTGATCGATTAACAGGACGGCCACACTGAGCGGCTTCTTGTTCCAGATTTTCGAGATCAGTATCACTGAGACTCGGGTGCGCTCGAGCTGTGGTGCTCGGGGTTCCGGAAGGATGTCTTGTGTCGCCACAAGTGATGGCCCAAGTATCAGCCTTGTCGTCTTCGAATTTACAGGGGCCGCAACTTCGACTGGTGGTTGAAGTCGTGGATTATTCTTGGGTTCCATCAAGAACTGATCCTGGACTTGCATGGTCGGTGCGCTTGGAGAATCTGGGATGGATGGATGAAGTGAGATGGCGATCAGTTTGGGCTCCACTAGCACCAGATTGCATCCAAATATATTGAATATTTTATCAGTGCTTGGATAGAGAAATAGTTACCTGTTGGATGAAATTTCGAAAGTCCATTTTCCAGAATTTGACGCCCTACGGTGGGTGGCAAGTTGAAAGCAGAAACAGAAGGTCGAAGTTCCTGAGTGTTTTTGATTAGCTGAACCGTGCCTTGTGGGCCTGCCTTCCCAGGGGCGGGATGAAGATTGATGGGCACTGAGAAGGGCTGGGACATCCTCCCGGCCAGATTTAATTTCTCGGTGAGGAATTGCAGCCTGCGAATTGGAGACATCTCATGAGTGCCGAACCTGAGTGGCCTCCGGATCACTTCATCTCTGTGCGGTTCGTCTGTTTCAGGATTGGGATGTCTGACGGGCTTTCGAGCGGGATGGTCGTAGAGACTGACCCAGCCTGCTTTGTGGACCTGTTGGTTATGGTTGTCTGCAAAGAGTCGCTCGAGGAGCGTCTTGGAGAGCCGATTCACCTGAATCTTCCCGGGTTCGGGCGGCTTGGGTCGATGTTTGGATCTTTCGATTCGCCTGACTGCCTTGGCCACTCTGTTTTCGACGGCGGCAGTCCTTTGGGTGATCGTCTGTTCCACAGGAGGGGCAGTCAACTTCTTTTTCCAAAAGTCAAGCAACTCCCGATACGTGGGCAGGGAGGTGACAATCGAGCCCGGATCTGGCTTTTTGGACTCAAGCTGAGGAGATGGGGGCCATATGTTTGAGCCATCCGAGGGAGGATCTCGAGGAGGTTGGGGATGCTCTTCGGGAGTGGAATGGAGAGTGTTTGGAGGTTTGGGAGGTCTCTCGACAGCTCGAGATGAGGTAGCCAAAGACTCTGGTAGGGGGTTTGGTTTGAGACTAGACGGGCGAGCCTTGAGCAAGCTTGAGTCGGCTAGAGAGGATGAGGGCTTGGAAATTTCGACGAGTCGCTTGCGCAAAGGACGGTGATAGGTGGCAATCCGGGCATTGGCTGGACGGAAGAGGGTGATCAGGAGGAGCCAGAGCCAACACCGAGTCGCCGAGAAGCCCGACATCTCTATCTGTTGTATACAAAGAGAGCAAAGACCTTAGAAAGAGAGCGCGTCCCTGTGCAGCGTTGAGGATGATGGAAGCTCAAGACGATAATTTGCAACGGTGCAGGAGACGCACACTCCCGGCCCCGGCCCATTCGCCACATGCTTATACATAGAGGGAGAATGAGACGGGATGCACTCCTTGAAGCAACAAGAATAATTTGGTGATGTACCACGCTTCAGCAAACCTGAAACTGTTTCGGCCTTTGGGTGTGACGAGCACCCAATAGAAAATATCGACAAGGGAGGCATGTAGAAAGTGGGAGGAGGGCTGAAACGAGGATAAGGAAGAAGATGATGATATGGATGCCGGTGCAAACAAATAGTCGAAATGTGCATAACATGCGAAGAGAACCAAGCCGAGCCGGGTTCATGAATGCTAGCTGTCCCGGGCGAGGTTATCTGGTTCCGATCCAAGTCCGGCGGCAGGCATCATCACAAGCCGTCGACCGATCATAAAAGTCCCCGGTTCCGAGATCAGGGTGGGGCTGCTGATGCCCTGAGCGCCCCGGCTGGGCACGGTGCGCGATCGTCCGCGGGGTTTAAAGTCCAAGGCGGCAGTTGAGCAGGACTTAAATCAGCCAAAGACCACGAACCTCGAAGGAGAAGATATCTACATACAAATCATCATGCCACGGGTAGCATATTACTACGATGGTCAGTCAGTCTCACTATTCTCATCTGGGCTTGTTCTGGCTAACAGTTCGACTTGCTTGCCAATCTAAACCACAGATGACGTTGGAGCTTATGCGTACGCTGTCAGTAGTTAATTAAGAAGAGACACGGGATAATTGGAAGCCGCTTTTTTGAATCTGACATTGAACTTGTTTCTTGACCACCAAGCCTCACCATCCGATGAAACCCCACCGTATCAAGATGGCACACAATTTGATCCTGAACGCCGGATTGAATCAGAAGATGGACATGCTCGTAAGATTGATGATGATTGGTTCCACGCGATCTCATCAGCAAAACCAGTCGAGAACCATCCGTTGACTGTTTCTTATACCGCCCTTGCTCAACGACTACCTCCCCAATTACCCCTCCAAGTGCGCCAAACGAGCAACAAGAGAAGAGATGACCAAGTTCCACACGGATGAATACATATGCCACATCGCCCAAGTCAACCAAGAAGATCCAGAGACACTAGTATCCGGAAGGGATAAGAGCGGCGATAACCGATGTAGGTAAACCAACAAACCACTCAAAATCAGTCTCCCAATTCCAACTCGAAACTACCTCCTCTAAAGCTTGATCAGGAAGACACAACACCAAGAGGCTTAATTCATCAACCTCACTTTCACTTTAGTCCTTGTGGGTGATGATTGTCCCGGTTTCGAAGGTTTATTCGAGTTTTGTTCGATCTCCGCTGGCGGTTCTATAGGTACGTGGTTGAATCCATTCACTTGCACTTTTTTTTGCTTTGAATCCATTCCCTTGCACTTTTTTTTTTGCTAATTCTTTTTATATTTCCCCTGAGCAGCCGCAGCAAAAAGGATTAATTCAGGACAGGCCGACATTGCCATTAATTGGTCCGGCGGTCTCCATCACGCCAAAAAACGTGAAGCCAGTGGGTTTTGTTATGTGAATGATATCGTCTTGGCGATCCTCGAGCTGCTGAGGTAAACACTTCTTTGTTCCTTTCTTGCCTCCAACCTTCCGACCAGTCTTCGAACCCTCTACTAATCCACTTCGCAAGCTTGCCCGCTATGCGCCCTCCCCCTCCCTCCATGTGACAGGTTTCACTCTAGAGTTCTGTATATCGATATCGACATTCATCATGGCGATGGCGTCGAGGAGGCCTTCTACACCACCGATCGGGTGATGACCTGCTCGTTCCATAAGTTTGGTGATTTCTTCCCCGGAACTGGTCATGTTGGGGATCGTGGAATAGGCAAAGGCAAGGGTTATGCGGTCAACGTGCCATTGAAGACTGGGATCGATGATGATACTTATCGGAGCATATTCAGGCCTGTGAGATTTACTTTCTTACGCACACCGTTCTTCACCCTGTCCACTAACCCTCCCTTCTCACATCTCATCCCCAGGTTATCAATCATATCATGAGTTGGTATCAGCCTGGTGCCATCGTGTTACAATGTGGTGCCGACTCTCTAGCGGAAGACAAATTGGGAAGTTTCAATCTTTCGATGAATGGTGAGCGTGTTGATCCCATCTCATCGGATGGACGCTCAACCACCTAATCATTCTGGCTGGAGTTTCTCAGGGCATGCCGATTGCGTGCGGCACGTCAAGTCCTTCAATGTGCCATTGGTCGTGCTCGGTGGGGGAGGCTACACGATCCGAAATGTCGCTAGGACGTGGGCCTTCGAAACATCGGTCTGTCTGGGCCCTCACGAAGAACTCTCGCTCGCCGATCTACCTTACAACGAATATATGGAATACTTTGGACCGAACTTCAAATTGGAAGTGCCCTCTAATAATATGGATAATCATAATTCACTGGATTACTTGAATGGAATACTGTAAGCTTGTCTCACCGGGTGTAGATTTTACGCAGCAACCAACAAAGGGACAGAGAGAAGGAAAGATCAAGCCAGTCAGAGAATCTTGCTAGACTAAAGACCAATGATTAATTCCAGGGCGAAGGTTGTCGATAGTTTAAGGGATCTACCGTTTGCACCTAGCACTCAGCGCCGACCGTTATCGTGTTATCCGGAAACTAAGACTGCAAACGACATGGATGATTCTGATTCGGACGATTCTCCTCTAGGTAACGGCCTGGGGGCCTCAGCCAACCAAGCCAATGCGAACGAGAGCGCCCAGCCCGAACCTGCTCCAGCGCCCCCGCCGCCACCCGTCCATCAACCAAACCGAGTCGGCCGTCCGTCACGGCTAAAGCCACCCCCGCCGCCACGCAAGGTGTCGCCCAAGCCGGCCGAGCCAGCAGACAAGGCCGGTGGCCAGGGGTCCAAAGATCGGTCCAACGGGACAGCCGCCGGGGGGAGCGAGCGCAGGAAGCGGACATTCTTCAGGAGTGGCGCGTTCGACCGGCCGCCCCGTGGAAGCTCCCAACCGAGCTGCTACACTGGCCAAAGTGGGATCCGGACCCGCATGAACAGGTCGACGACAAGTCATCAGCAGTTTGCCGAAAGCTCAGCCAGACTCGATCGCCCCCCTGACGGTTTCTCTAACCTCGTCGTCAATAATAATAGCAATAGTCGTAGCCAATTCTTGTCTTCCAACGCCCATCGTCAGGATACCCATGATCAGCCCGATATTCAAGATCCTCCTATCCCCAGTCCTGAGTTCCGAGCTAACGCCCATCCCAAAGAGATCGTCTTGAGCTGGGATTTTAACCATTGCTTTTGATCAAGGACTTCTACATAGTTTTGTCTTTGATAATTGTTGTTGTATTTTTTTCCCATATTCAGTACAAGTAAAATCCAGAGTTGAAATGAACTCTGTTAATCTATCTATTTGAGGATATATTTGTTCACATGTTTGCTTGTCATTAATGGTTTTCTTCAAAAAAAAGCGCTTTGGATTTGTTTGTAATGTCATATACCTTGGTACTTTCTTTGTGATTGATTGATTGTGGATTGTGCACATCATTCGCATGTTGACCCAGATGCGGAGAGCCCATTAAGCTGTTCAGTGATTTGTTTACTTTTGGTTTGTGTGCTTCAGTTGAACAGGTTTTGCTCTTTATTCTTTTCCACGAGACCGCTCACTTTCGACCATGAACCACCAACTGATCAGAAGGACTTTGGTAGTCGGACTCAGCAGAAGGACAACACCCAGACTCAACCACTCCTACTCGACGACAACCAGTAATAGCAACTTTAAGAGAACAACAGCAACAGTAGGACTGATACTCGGAATCCCACTGACTGCCTATCTCATCTATCGCTCACAGTTACCGCAGGTCTACCCGGACTCAATCCAGCAGCTATTGCGTCAAGCCCTGGTTGCTGAGCACCGATTGGACCACCGGAAATCGGAGATCCTATTCAGACAGGCCTACGAGCAATCCAAGCAGCACGTCCGGTCCGGAGAGCTCGATTGGCTCAAGAGCTCGGCCATCGCGATCAGATGGGCGGCCTCCTTGGAAGGGACGGCGAGGGTGGATCGGGCGATCGAGGTCTACCAACTCGTCTTCGACGACTTGCGTCTTGCTCTCCCCGGATTATCAATCCATGAACGATTACGGACGATCGAAATCGCCCAGAAACTCGCTCAACTGTTCCCCTCCTCAGCCCCACCTGGGAAACGGCCTGAGTTGGTGCAGAAGAAGATCGAGGAGTGTCTCACCTTCAGCGTCGAAGAAATACTAAAAATTCAAAATAAAGATGGTACAACACCTCCTGATCATCATCAACTGCCATCAATCGATCAACAGCTTGAAGCTCTCGAATCGTTGCCCTCTTGGGTCGGAAGACTCCAGATTGCTAGCTGTTTTGAAACCCTCGGCAAGTTCTACGCCCAACGAGGTCAGATCGAGTAAGTCTCTTTTTTTCTTATAGCAATTATTCCACATATCCACGGGCAAGGCTGAGAAAGGAAAATCTGACCGACCGGATTATTTGCTCTGTTTTTTTCTCCCCTCGAAGTTTTGCCTTGCCTCTATATCTCCAAACCCTGAACCTATTACTTCCGCCCCCATCAGACAAGGATACGAATCGGAGCAGGTCCAGTCCGACGCACGAAGCGCAATGCCAAGCAGCGACGGTGATGAACAACATCGGCCAGCTGCTGTTTTCGCGTTCGGAGACGGAGCGGGCGGCGGACGGAGCCGGCGAGCGACTGCGTCTGAATGCCGCCCAGTGGCTCGGCCAGTCCTCCGCCCTCGCCCAACGGGTCCTTGAAGAACACCACCAGGTACCCCTCGACGTTCCTGGTCGGACGGCGCTCGCCGACCTTCCCATCGGGGCCTTGGCTGAATGTCGAGACGCATTCATTGCCGCTAACGCTAACCTGAACTCCCTCAATCATCCCCCCACGTATGTGTGCTTATCTCTACTCTCACTCACCCAGCGGGGTTCATCTGATCTTGCTTTCCGCTTCTTGCCTATTTATCTATCTGTCTCAACACCCATCTGACCGCCAACAACGCCTGAATCTTAACGATGATGAACCAACCAGTCCGAAGAATAGCTCGCCCGGTCGCTGATACAGCCTTACCTCACACCTACAACTTGAATCACAAGATAGACCAGCAACCTGGACTGATTTTGTCACTGTATCTGTATCTATTTATTACAAGAAAGAAGTCCATAATCTCCAAGCTTGCAGCTTATAAGTCCAGATAGAGGAGCTATCATCCTTGCCTAGGTGGCAGGCATTTGGGCAGGGAGAAAGAGACCAAAAGTAGTGGAGCAGGATGAATCAAAAAAGAAGTCTGGTGAATTTTCTTGATGCTGGGATTGTGTAGGTGCATGTTAAAATTTCAATCTAACTTTTGATACAATCATCAGGGGTACATGCACATACACTGCAAGAAAATCCACCAGTTGAAATGCATGACACCACAAGCTGGCACTCTTGTAGTGTGATGTTATTTGAGGAATCATATGTCTTTGATGCTTGTTCTACAACACTTGTGATTCAGGTCAGGTAAGTAAATTCAAGAATGGGGTGGATACACTTCCATTGTATTGGAGGACTTCCTGTGGGTTTTACAGGCCTTGTAAAGCTAGATTCACAGGCTGTAGAGCTATTCTTTTTTGCTGGGAAAATGGCTTTACAGCCTGTAAAGCTAGCTTTACAGGGAGGCCCAAATCCCAGGGGAAAAAAAAGGAATTCCTGTGGGTTGTCTTGTCTCTGGGGTCCAAGTTTTCTTGGTGCAAGTATGATGCTGGGAAAAAGAAAGAGATGTCATTGAGTGGTTGGGTGAGATGGACCAGTCTGATTTTATCCTGTCAACCCAGTTGCAAGGTGAGCTGACTGTGGGAAGTGGGGCTTGTGGTTAGGGATAAAAAAATCCCCGGTACCTGTGTGCAAAAGCATTTGATCCAGTTTGATGTGAATTTCAGACCTGATTCCTGTTCCTGGCAGTGGAAGCATCCTGCTTGAGGGTCTTCCTACTCTAGGCAGTAGCACAGGCCAACAGGTAGTCTTCCAGGATGTTATTGTTTCCTGGGTTTTGGGACCTGTGTGGTCTCCTAGGGCAATTATGAAACCCCCTAAAATATTAGGCTTGGTAAGGTTGACTAGATACAAAGCATATACATGCAATGTATGTTGATGAAAAGATGAGTAAAATGAACAGGGGGGGGGAGGTGCTGTCCTGTAGGGACCCTCCAATGTGACAAGTGGTTTACCACTCAGACAAAGGGGGAAGGGACTTAATTAAGTTAGAATATGCTCATGTTTATGTTGCTGCCAAACAGGGTCATAACTCTTTGCCAAGCAATGTTTCAAAAACATTTGATGAACCACTATACAAATCCAAACAGTGTAAAGAATACTGAATATTAGATGTGCACAGCCACACATGTCAAGTACATATTGGCCGTATCAAAACCAATACCGGATATGCCAAGCCAATGATATCATCTATGTAATAGATAAGATTGCAGAGGATTGCAGAGCTTCAAGGAAAATTGATTGGGAAGTTTCATCTAGTTTCAAAGTGTTTCCACATTTCCAATACATGTCTACTGTCTCCACTCAAACCTAGAAGAAGAAAAGCATTGCAAGGCTTAAATCAAGTGACAGGAACTCCACATACTCGCAAGTCTCAAGCAATGCTATCCCGACCCTGTTTCAACTTTGGGCATTTCCACGTCTCGCATTTTGGAAAATATTTCCAGAAGTGCGCTTTAGGCATCAGACAAGGTCAAAATGCGCGTTTGCTTGGCTCTCTGAGACTCATGACCTCGACGGCAATTGTTTTGATATTGATGTTGAGGAGAATCAATTCTCGATTTGGCCACTCGGTTAGCTGTAAGAAGAAGTATTCAAGTAATTTGCAGAGCAGGCCGAAAATGGTTATTACGGCACGTAAGCACGTATTCCAAAAAAAAAAACATTAGCCACATCGTGGGTGTTATTTTGTTCAAATTAAGTCAGACAACTCTGCATTTGATATGTACATAGCGATTCGTCGACTTTGATGATACAAGTGGCTCTTGAAGCTCATGTATTGTTGCTTGTTCCGTCTTGTCAACCTCAGTGAAGTTGTTTGGCAGGAAAGCGGTGCAGAGACAAAACATGTTTCTCTAAAAGCGAGATCGCTCAGCCATTCTTGCCAAGCACTTGTTCCAGTAATTGTTCTGCTTGTGCCTATCAAAGAGCAGTCCACGCAGCACAACAGATCATGAGTTTGGGTATATTGTCGTTACCCTGGGTGATGGGATAAAAGGACGCCCATAATCTCGTCAGGAAGGCATCAATCCACCCAGATCACCAATTATCTTCAACTGTCCATTGCATTCGCACTCACTTAATCCCGATCTATTCTCCCATTCGAGTAACGTCCATTCATTCATTTGTTGTTTAACTTAATATCAACCAAAAATGCATCTAGCTTCATTCATCATTCTCAGCTTGAGCTTTTACTATGCTCAAGCCGACTCGAACACTTCCATGTCAGGCCCTCAACTCAAGCCTATGAAGTGCACCAACATTTACTTGACTTTGTCGGAACGTGACATAGCCGAAATGCAAAGCAAGGGTGGTCTCAATCCAAGCCAACGGGCCAAATTTTTGTGGACCACAATCTGATCAATACCTTAATGTTCAACTGTTCTGAGATGTTGTTCCTGCTGCATACAGTGTCCACCAACCCAGTCAAGGCCGTCTGCAAAAGCAGTGCCGCGGGTGACAACGGGGGTTTGTGCGACTTCAAGACTTGCTCCGGGAAACCTGCAGGTACGTGACTTTATTTTTTGAGTTGAAACTTGGAGTCCTAGACCAAACCTAAGGAGTTTTATTACAATCCAGTTTGTGGTACCTGCTACCCAGTTACAATGAAAGAAGGTAAACTGGTGAGGACTTCTGAAACATCTGTTGAAAAAGTGGAATGTGGAAAGAATTACTTCTTGAAAACAGAGAAGGACCACAACAGTACGTTATGTATGATGTATAGGAACAGAAATGTTCAAGAACTAATAGATACACATGTTTTGAAATAGTCTGTACTGCCTATGATAACAAGATGTACAGTTGCACTGGGGAATGCAAGGCTTCAATTGGTAAGAGCTCCTTGGGTGTGGGATCATTCCATTCAAAGGCAACTGATATTTATTGTTATCAATTCTTCCCTATTCAGAATGCCAGTCTTGTGTTAGTTTGGATGATCCAGCCTTCAAGAAGGCCTCCTAGGTGATACATCCTCATCACTCTTTGGTCTCTTCTTTTTTGTTTATTTGGGAATACTTTTGGATTCAATTCATCATAATTTGGGCAGTTGCCCCAACTGCAGTGTGGATGTGAATTATTTGTTCCATGGTAGATTTTGATTCTCATTGGAGGACTTCCCGTCGGATCTGGGAGCCTCGCAGTTTCCAATTTAGACCCAAAAAGTCTAGATTTTTGCAGGGAAATCTAGCTTTTTCGGCTCTAAATCGAAACTGGGAGCCCCGCAGATGTTGACGGGAAGTCATCCATTATCTATTAGATATTAGATCACTTACATCATTCAAATGGTTGGTTTAATTCAAATCTATTTGAATGCACATTGCCTCTTCTTGATCATTTACAATATTCTGATTTGACTTTTGAGGGCATGATATGAGTCTATGTGAGAAAATTGATTCCAGCTTGGTACTTTTTTGGTGTTATACTGCCACCATAAAAAGAAGCATCTTTACAACCAATGCTTGAACGACAATGGCTTAGAAGTCAATCAAAGCCTAGAAAAACATATCAGAAAAGATAAATCAAATTTCAATGATATATGCACTGTGAGACCAATTGACTTGAAATGGGCAAAGAAATCCAACAGGGGCCAGGGGCACCCCATCCTGTTAGTCAAATTGAGATTCCTATGGATATCAGATATAAATGATATCCAGCCAGGAACACAATACTCACATGTAAATGCCTGAACCAGCCCCCCCCCCCCCAAAAAAAGAAAAAAAAAATGTCCAAGCAAAGAAAAATCTTACACACTTGTAGTCTTTTGAATGATTTCTCGGACAGGCCTGTCCAACAAGTTCTCCGACATGACTTTCCAACAAGACGTTGGAATTGCCTGTCTGAGCAGATGACCCCACCTGGAAACTGCTTGGACAAGCCAGTTTGACAACTCGCCGGATGGCCATGCCCAAGAGCTTCTCAGACAAACCCGTCCAAGGACTCGTTGGACAGGCGGGTCCAACCGTTTATTCTAGACAGTGTCATATCATGACCTCAAAATACAAATCAGGAGATTTTCAATGATCAAGAAGAGGAAAAGCATTTAAATAAATTTGAATTCAACCAACAAGTCAAATGATGTAAGGGATCTGATATCTAATAGATAATGAAAATCACAATCTACCATGGAAACAATGATTCTCATACACCCTGAAGTTGGAGAAACTGCTCAAATATTGATGCATTTGAAATGCAATATTACAAACTTAACGATGATGAACCAACCAGTCCGAAGAATAGCTCGCCCGGTCACTGATACAGCCTTACCTCACACCTACAACTTGAATCACAAGATAGACCAGCAACCTGGACTGATTTTGTCACTGTATCTGTATCTATTTATTACAAGAAAGAAGTCCATAATATCCAAGCTTGCAGTTCATAAGTCCAGGTAGAGGAGCTATCATCCTTGCCTAGGTGGCAGGCATTTGGGCAGGGAGAAAGAGACCAAAAGTAGTGGAGCAGGATGAATCAAAACAGAAGTTTGTTGAATTTTCTTGATGCTGGGATTGTGTAGGTGCATGTTAAAATTTCAATCTAACTTTTGATCCAATCATCAGGGGTGCATGCACATACACTGCAAGAAAATCCACCAGTTGAAATGCATGATACTACAAGCTGGCACTCTTGTAGTGTGATGTTATTTGAGGAATCATATGACTTGGATGCTTGTTCTGCAACATTTGTGATTCAGGTTATGTAAGTAAAAACAAGAATGGGGTGGACACATTTCCATGGTATTGGAGGACTTCCCGTGGGTTCTACAGGCCTTGTAAAGCTAGATTCACAGGCTGTAGAGCTAATTTTTTTGCTGGGAAAATGGTTTTACAGCCTGTAAAGCTAGCTTTGCAGGGAGGTCCAAATCCCAGGGAAAAAAGGAATTCCTGTGGGTTGTCTTGTCTCTGGGGTCCAAGTTTTCTTGGTGCAAGTATGATGCTGGGAAAAAGAAAGAGATGTAATTGAGCGGTTGGGTGAGATGGACCAGTCTGATTTTATCCTGTCAACCCAGTTGCAAGGTGAGCTGACTGTGGGAAGTGGGGCTTGTGGTTAGGGATAAAAAAATCCCCGGGCAGTACCTGTGTGCAAAAGCATTTGATCCAGTTTGATGTGAATTTCAGACTAGAGATGTCGCTCGATACCCGGGTACCTGTAGCGGGTGCGGTTACCTGCCTCAAAAATCCAATATTTTTGACACCCGCACCCGCACCCGCACCTGCTAGGGCAGCCAGGGCGGGTACCCGGGTACCTGCGCCGGGTACCTGCAGGTACCTGGAACATTTTTGCAGGCAAATATACCCAGAAATCTCACCCTTGAATTTCTGCATGACTTGGTAAATATAAGATTGATATTCACTAGATATATGAGTAAGAATAAAATAAAAATAAAGAAATAAAGAAAAACAAATTATTCCATCACCAATTTGAATTTTATCTTCTCTCTGATCTATCTTTAGCTTTACCCTTTTGCTTGGCCTCATTTGCCTTATTCAATGTCCATTGATGAAGACTGTACCCCGTCTTTATGACTGGAGGAATTCCTCCAGTCATAAAGACTGTACACCATCTCAAAGGCCGGAGGGAACCCTCCAGCCTCAACAAAGCAACCAGATTAGTTCAGCAACACATGTAAGACACCAGCTAGTGTCCTACATGGGTTGCTGACACCTTTGTGCAGCCCAACACACCCAAAAAAGGGAGTTTTGGACCACCAATGATAAATGAAATTCTTCAGGGGAAGCATTCCCAGGGTGGGTGTAAGGCAGGTACCCGGGTACCTGCCTTTTTTTACCGCAAATGTTGACACCCGCACCCGCACCCGGTACCTGTTTCCGGGTACCTGCTTTGGAAAACAGGTACCTGCAAACGGGTACCGGGTACCTGCAAACAGGTACCTGCTGACATCTCTATTTCAGACCTGATTCCTGTTCCTGGCAGTGGAAGCATCCTGCTTGAGGGTCTTCCTACTCTAGGCAGTAGCACAGGCCAACAGGCAGTCTTCCAGGATGTTATTGTTTCCTGGGTTTTGGGACCTGTGTGGTCTCCTTGGGCAATTTTGAAACCCCCTAATATAAGGCTTGGCAAGGTTGACAACTTGACTAGATACAAATCATAAACATGCAATGTATGGTGATGAAAAGATGAATAAGATAGGGGAAATGTGTGTCAAATGCATGAAAAACTGCAGTCGGTGTAGCAAAACTTTGCTTGCCAGCTGCCAAGGTTAAAGGATGGTGTGGAACTTGTGTGCGGAGGGGGTATAGGCTGCTGTTTGAGGTGAGCTGCCCTTGTTGTAGGGTCCAGATAATTTTCAGGTGTGATCTAAATAAAGGGGGTGGGTTGGATTTGTTTAGAGAACCCAGCCGAAGTGCAGTTTCTGTGGCAGTTGTTTAGTTTGAGTTCTGACAGAATCCGGGGTGGTGTTGTGAGATCAGAAGACCAAAACAATCTGGATTGATGACATTTGAGCTGAGCAGACAGAATTACTTCCCCTAACTTGGTAAGTAACTCTGATCTTACCTGCTAAAATTGTGAACAATTTCTCGTTTTATCACTTCAGACTGTTAATATAGATCATCATGTCTTGCAACAAAAAACAATTCAAGCTTGATTTACTCACCAAAAGTATTCAAGGCATGCTATTCATTACTTTTACTCATTTAATTCTTTATAATGCCCATAATGATATTTGCTTGTTGACTGTTTAGTTCTGAACCAACACAATTGATATCTTTTTCTTCTTCCTACAGTTTTCATATCAACTCTACTTTCTCTCAATCTCTTATCTCTTAGTCATACAACAATAATTCTTTTGTGATTCCTCTTTGCTTCCAGGTACAGCCGTTCCGAGAAAGCTTGCTGCTTGGGAGTTGGACTTTTTATTTTTATTTTTTATTTTCTTCTTTTTTAGGGGCTGAATACAGCCCTGTATACAGAGCGAGTATCGTGCAGTTCTTGTTTTTCCTTCTGTA